AGGGATCTTTCTCTAGAGGAGTAATGCCATTATTCAGATAAACGCAACAGGTAAAGAGAGCTAGCATTTAAAGCTTCACCTCTACTTGCCTTACAAACCCCATTTTAGTGTGCTTCAGAACACAATCAAAGAAAAACACTCTCAACTTTATATACCCCATCATTATTCCTCAGCCAATACCACTGTACAGCATCTCAGAAGAGGCAGTGCTCTGAGCCAAAGACCAAAACAAGATGCCTCTGCTTTACAGATGACCTGCATTTGGTTTAAGCTGACCAGTTCCACCTTAGTGTTCCCCATCTACATCCAGGCTTTCAGCAAATCTCTCATCTTCCTGTTTTCTTTGCCAGACCCTAAAAAGGCAACACTGCAGGGTGTAGCAGAATATTAAAACACAGATTTCAATAGTAATGACTCAGGCTTAATGGCCTGTCTGCAGAGCTCATATTCCTCCTGCCAGCTACCTCTACCCCTGCAGTTCACAGTTCCTAGAAGGTTGAATGGGTTTAGGAATCAATAGTGTATTCAAAAAGGAATACCTTGACTACAGAAGTCTAGAGAGGCTATTATAATTATTCCCTATTTTTCAAGCAAAAAATAATCCCCAATATTGTTTACTGCAAACAGAGAGCCAGCGGTTTTCCACAATCTTTTGGAAAATTCCCACAGCCCCACTGCAGAATGCTGCTGTCCCAGGGACTGACACACACAGGACCAGTGTCAGGCACTGCCCTGAGTGGGCTCCACTCACCTATGAGATTATTCTCATACCTTAAAAGTTACATAGCATAAACCGTGCCCTTGCAGAGCACACTGCAACCATGGCCAGTCCCTACACCCACAGTTGATTATAAAGCAGCATCATACCTGCTTTATAACATAATTTATAATGTATAATCCCTACTTCACCCCTGTGACTAAGAAGCTCTGTTAAGTCATGTTACCTATTAGCATCAAAAAGGTTAATGTTAAGCTTTGTATATACCCAGATTGTTATTCATCACATATATTTCCCACATGCAACCCAGTGCATGATCTTTTTCTCAGAAAGTGAACACCATGCCTTGAAATTAAGTGGCAATATATTTGGATTTCTGACTCACATGCCATGATTAGAAATATTTCTAACTGGTTATAGTTACAGCCACTGTAAATACAGCATTCACTCTACTGCCTTCATTGGTGCTGCTTAACCTATTCTAAGCATCACAGTTTAGTCTCCTGTTTAAACACAAGTTGAGTTTTCCCAGCAGCTGGGACCCAAGGCCAAGCTGCTTTGCAGTCATGTTTCACTACTTTGAACAGAAAGAAAGGTTGCAGAAATGGATGTGAATTTGTGCAGGTGGCCACACACAGTAATGCCTGGCCTCCTCACAGAGGAAATCCTGGAATGCTGCTCTGCTCAATCGGCCAGTTCCCAGCCCATTTAGCATACACTTCAGAACATGCAAGAACCCTTGAACTGGACTTCACTGGGGCTATTCATTATAGCCCTGCAGCAGAAATTTCTTCTACAAGGGTATACCATTTTTGGGAGTATTTATAATTTCTTGCAACCTGGAATTGCTGGAAGCATCAGCTTCATTTCCTTTTTCCAAAATTCCTGAGCCCACCGCTGTGGAATGTGTCTGTTTGACAAAGGCAGTTTGATTTAGTAAGTAAATATAAAAATGTGCATGTCAGAAATATTCCTGGCAGCTGGAATCTCAACTGCAGAGCTCATTTAGCTTTTTCCATACAGTGTGGAAAAATTGCAGGTGTTAATAACTATGCTGATATAGGGGTTATCATCCCCTAGGTCAGCAGGGTAAGCAAATCCACGAGGCCCACAAGGTCAGCAGCAGCTGAAATTCTCTTTTCAAGTAGCTATGTGCTCTATTTAGCATAGCTAAGCCTGAGCACTGCAGAAAGCAGCAGTGATCATCTTGGCTGGTGGTCATAGCACCCCCAGTGTACTACATTCAGGGGAGCTTGTGTATCTCCTGAACGAAAGCACATGTTCAGGTGTACCATGGAAAACAACGAGTAAATTTTCAAACTAAATCAGTATTTTGCTGACCTAAGTTACTCAAAAAGGTGGTCTGCAGCGAGATCACTTCATATGCCCTGAAAAGAAACACAGAGCTCTTGAAACAGGTGTCATAGAGGGTTGTCTTGGTTATGGACTTGGTTATAGCACTGCCCAGGTCTAATCATAAATGTCTCCATGAAAGTGTGTCATTCTCTAATTTTCCTTACCTAATGACCATTTACCCTATCATTGTCTAATTTCTACAGCACTATGCCCTGGGAAGCAATGTCCCACCTATTTTTCTGTTCCCAATTCTACACTGAGAGTGGGAGGAAAAACTGGTACAGAGTAACTTGACTGAAAATAACTGTGCTGGTAGCAGTGCACCTTCTGCCCTTTGAAGTGTACCTTAATAGAGGGAATGATCTGTTTTTAAAGCAGTTCTGTTTGTACACTGTGAGGCTGAGTTAGTGTTTACTACTTTGTGTCTGTCATGTTGAGGTGCCTCAGAAGCCTAAGTTTCAGCGTAATCTGGAGAAAATCAGCCTGTACTGCAAACTCCAGGTTAGCTGCATTGCAGTTGGATGGGGATAATATTTCGGTACCTTTGCTACAGGGAACTCTTGTAGCATAAATCAGCCAAGCTCCACCACTGTCTCAACTGAGACCAGCAAAAGTGAAAGCTTTGCAATCATCTGCTCTGGAGAAAACAAGGTAGAAAAAAACAGGAACAGAAACAAACAGCACGCAAATCTATAATCAGGCCAGACAGCACCCTGCACTTGCTCTTGCTTTTATAAAGGATTCCTGATCCTTAATTGAATCAGGTGGGGAGTGCTGCCTGATAACTGGGTCAGGGCCTCAAACTCTGGGGACTCTATTTTTCCCCAACATTGGGACATTAGGCAATCTATTATTCATCCCTTGCATTCCTTTGCCTCAGCTTTAAAATGTGAAATCACAACTAGGAAGAAACAGCACATGGAATCATACTACAGTCCAATTGCACTTCCATTCAACAGGGAATCTCAAGGCAACATGGAGGCCATCTGAAGCCTGTGGTCCTGCTGGGCGGTTGTGTTTTGTTTTTTTCTCCATTGTCCACATGATCTGTTCTTAGTTCTACTTACTTCATGCAACATTATAAACATGTATTTTAACGTGGCTAACACCCACATTCAGGAAAGACATTTTTGAGCATAATGAGTTGCATTAAACTTGTCCCATGCCCTTTTCAAGGTGACTATCACATTAGTCTATATGTTCCTACTGCCTTATGACTACTACTAACTGTATGTTAGGAGACAGTGCAAGCTAATGATTGATAAATCCCACACCACGAAATTTCAACCTGACCTTTCACACTGGGGATCCAAATCAACTGCTTCTCATGAACCCTATGAAAACCTTGCTTTGTCTCTGCCTTGGACTGATGCTGAGATGAAACCCAACTGCTAGCAACCTAAAATGTTTTGAAGATAGAATAAAATGGCAAGCCCTTGTGTGGTGGGTGCAGAATACAGGCAGGTAACTGTGTCAGGGAACTGGACTTTTTCTGAGGCTTGCGTTTTGCAAGCAAACAGCTTTCTATCCAGCCAGCCTTGAAAGCACAAGCACTGTCTGGAATTCAGCAGCTTGTCAGACAGGTTGCCAGTTACGTGAAGGCTGCTGACAGAACAATTTCTTCTACAGCAACCTACAAAATTCTATTCCCAAAACTTCAGCAGGTTACAGAAGATCCTGCATGCAGCAGCAACCATGTGCTGATAGATCAAATGCTTCCACACACTCAGCATGCCTCTCTGTACAAATGTGGCAGACAGCATCCTTGGTTTTTAGACAATGGCAATTAAAAAGCCATGTTAAAAATATTTTCACTATAGCTCATGCTAGATTACATCTGGCTGAACCGAAACAAGCAGAATTACAATCTAGGTTTACAAAATACTAAGGAGAAGTATGAGCGAGGACCTGTGCTCAACCACAGCTGCTTCCCAAAAGCTACAAGACATGTATTAGTTGCTGCTGCTCTCTGCAGCCTAACTTGAGAGGATGGAGCTACAGATGAGTTGCAGCAGTAGGCCAGAATCAACCTCTACAGCAGGTCCCTGCCTGGGATCTGTACAGAAGTGAGCCATGCTTCAGTCAACTTCCCTTTATTATCCTCATCAATTATGGTAGGAAAAAATAAGCAAGTCGGATAACATGGAGCAACAATAAAGCAGGTGATAAATAAAGATGCTGAAAATAAAGCTTGACCAAACAAAATTAATGCATGCTTCAAAGCTGTTACCAAGATGCAGTAAGCAGTTAGTAACAATTATAAATAATAAAGTACTCATCTAAACCTAACAGGCTCTCCAGTCCCACCTTCTGCTCCTCAACTACCCATGGTGTACTCAGTTTTAGAAGTTCTTCCTCAATCACTTTCAGAAGAGGACATTAACTTATACCCTGTGCTCCTCTACCCTTCTCCATGCATGTCCTGAACACAACATTAGACTCTGGGCTGTTTCGTGATGAGTTTTCCCTCCTCTCAGCTTCACGTGTTCTCCCAGTTCCAAGAGCTTAAAAAAAAATACCCCTTCTCGACAAGTTGGATGGGTTTTGTCTGAAGTGTCCATGGTTGCTCAGTTATTACTAATCCCACACATAGCCCCAAGTCTCTTCCCTCCAGTCCTCACAGAGCCCATTATGCTAAATGACACTGATCCAAAAATGGGAATTGAGGGAGACACTCTGAAATAGGCTGGAAAACCTCTGCTGTGGTATGGCCTGTAAGAAGACAGCTTTTTTAAGCATTTGTGTCTCTGCTAAATAATTTTTGCAGTTCCACATTTAAATGCTCTCTCTAAGAGCTAGTCTGCCCTGTGAGGAGGTCACTACAGCTGAAGTAGTGAAGGGTATGATCAATTTTCAGAGGGTGCTGTGACCCAGAGAGGTCTGATTACATCATTTGTTTTGGGTTGAGTCTCAGGAGCTTTATAAAAGGCAGTCCTAAAAGCAAGAGGAGACACAAGAGGAGAGAAGAGCAGAAGCTCTTCTTCAGCAGCACCTCTGTATGTATGCATTCTGCTACTTGCCACATATCTACAAGGGAGTTTCTTCAGACTGCAGAGGAACTTGTGAACTGTCAGAATATTATAAGTCTTTCCTTGAGATGTCAGCCAAGAGCTTCAGTGTAGTCACAGTTGCTTCTGTGCTTATTTTCTTCCTAAAGACACCAGTCTCAATGCAAGCTCCGTTGAATGGTAAAGTCTTTCAGCTTTCTTTTTTATTGTCGCTTGTAACTTAGGGCAGCTAATGTATGCAGAAAACTGGCATCTACTAACTATTACTATTTCAATAGCATGCTTAAAGTTGTATACTGTTGTAGACTGCAGTTGTTTGGAGTTGGTATCCTTGTTTCAATTTCTCATAACAGGTATTCTGATATATACAGAAAAAAGCAATTTGTCCTCTGATGTAGTTTGTGTTACAGACCTCTTGCATGCTCAGTGTGCCTTGCTTTGTGATCTTTCTGTTTCTCACAGAATGAAGCAGACTGGCCCTTCTCAGAGTAGTGGAAGTATCACACCTTTCCCTCTGCCCTCAGAGGGAAAAGAATGCAATCCCTGTGAAGCACCCCATATAGTAGACCTCATTCTCTTATATCTAACAGAACAGTTTCACAAAGTTAGCATTCCTCGCTCTCTTTTTAAGAGCTAATGTTCATTTATTCAAGCAATTATAATCGTTTTAAATCCATTCAAGCTAATTATAATCCACCTAGTTTGATAACAGGCTATAAGGGAGAATCATTGTAAAAGGTTGTGTGAGAAGACTTACTCAGCATGTGCACTTACGTGACAAAAATCCTGAAGGCTCAAGTGTAATCCAGAGCTGTCAGCTTCATGCAGAGCTCTGCCAAGACAAGACTTCACCAGGGTTTTCACATGAGCTACAAGAGAGGTGCGATTCAGACTTTCAAGAACCCCTTCTTACTGTGGGCATATATCCTCTGAAAAATGGCTACATTCCCCAGCAGAATCTCCCACCTGAAGGGCAGAGGTTCCTACACCTTGGAGCTCTCCAGAATAACAAATAAAGCTCCATGCTTTCCAGGGGCTTTCCCTGACAACTCAAGACTCAGAAGGGAAAGATGTGTTGAAAAGATACATCTTACAATACATGTTGAGGGGAATGCTGGAGAACCCCTATTTTAGAATTAAGAACCCCAGTACCAAGAAATGGCAAGAGCTGTAGCATTTGCCTGTCCCTGACATCTTCCCAAGTCAGAAAAACAACTAACATAGATTATCACAACTAAACTAACATCACTTTCCCAGCTCCCCAGTGACATTGGAAGTGCACTGGTTCCCTGCAGGTTGACCGGTGGAACACAAATACACTGTCTCCAGGAATCTCTTCTGCCAGGCAGAGACATGTAACTGTGTTACTCACCAGCACTCACCCTAACATGAGGCAGGAGAGTGCTCACAGGTACAGAGCTGTTGATAGTTGTGATCCCTTCTAGACGTGAATCAGACATCTATTGGCTCTCCTCCAAATCTGTGAGCCTGTGTGACAGTCTGCCTCTGCCTCATCCTCATTTCATTATCAAGAAGAATAAGGGTAATGCAACCTTGTTCAGAGTCTGAGGATAGCAGCTCTACATGTTTATTCAGGCAAAATCAAGAAGATTCTGACATCTGCTCATCTATTCATCTCCTGATCTAAGGGGGATGAAATAAGCATTAAATGAGCCTCAGCCCTACCTACACTTGTTGCTGTTACTGTGCTCATCAGTAAAGTCTCAATGGTAGTGAACTGCAGAGCATCAAAATGCTCTCAAGCTAAGGAAAATTTCACTTGGCAGAAGACTTGAAGCTTTCATTTTTATTTCAATTGCCATAAATGCCAAAATATTGAAAATATTTGAAATTGACTGTTTAAAGGTTGCTGTAGAATAAAAAAAATCATAGTTTTGACACTTTACACACATTTTAATGGGAAGCAGGATCATGAGCAGAGAGTAGCTGCTGTAGTTAAGCCACTATTTTTTCAAACCTGGTTCAGCTGAGGATGTGGCAATTTCTAAAACCTGCTGATGGTCAGTTGCTTTCTCCATGCAAGTTTTACCTACAGAACATTCTGACCAGTGGGCACAAACACCCCAAAAACAAATCAGAGAGAAGGGGAGAGGAGAAGGAGGTTTCTCATCCTGAAATATAAGACAGTGCATGAATTCTTCTACATGAGGAACATGGGGATGTGAGCCAGGATGATTACAGAGACCTCATTTTGAGAATTCCAGTGTAAAAGAACAAGACACACTGGTCCTAATGAACTGGAATCAGAGAGCTCAGTGTCCCCAGCACATATCACTACAAAAGAGCTAAGAGCAGATATTTTGCACATCCCTATGAATTAATCCCAAATATTTCACACAACATTCTCTGGAGAAGAACTGTATCTGTGACCACACTCCAGAGTACAAGAAATGCAGCCAAGGATCACGTACTGAGCAGACACGTGCATGTAAGGATAGATACCTGCCTACCTGCATGCACACATGGGCACTCTGAGTGTTTGCAAGACCTGTAATTCAGGACTGTTTTCTAAGCAGAAATTAAACAGAATTTGCAGAGAGTAAAGATATCCATTATCCTGACAGCCAAAACTGTGCAGGTCTGTCAGGACAAGCACCTGCAATTACCCAGCAAGCTGAATGACTAGGTAGGTTTCAGGACCAGAAAAAAATAAAAGGAGCATTTAATAAGTCAAGACATTTCCAAAGACAAGCAAAGACACCGTCCCAAGTTCACTTCCTTAAACCATGGATGGGTACTGGTCACTCCACCTCCCAGGATTCTCTGAGTTGTATGGGTTCATGGATCATATTCCCTTTCTTTCAAGTCCATCTATTTCTGTTTCAGTTGGCCAGTCCCAGAGCCCCTGTACAGAAATGGCTGTAGCAACTGGCAACCCACTGATGGTTTTCAAACTCCCCAACTAGGCATGAGGGGGCTCATTATAGCTACACCCCATTTATATTTCTTAAGTTTCCTGACTGGAAAAATACCAGGGATGTGCCTACATACCCAGCCTGTGGCTATTCCACACACACAAAAAAAAACACCAAAACCCACATCACCAGAAAGCCAACAAAAGTTTCACTCCAGCGTCTAAGTAACCACAAGAAAGTCACCCCTATGGGCAGGAACACAGCGATAATTATAACTTGGGCGAGAAGTGTTCATGATCTTTGAAAGTGTCTGCGTTTTTGCTCAACATTTGGGGACAGTTCAAAGTATTGCAAAATTCAGTACATGGGTTTAAGTGGCAATTTGTTTCTCTGTAGACTAAGATCAATTTCAAATATTCACAGTAATATTTTCTTTGTCTTTAAACAGGGTCAAAATGGTCTTATATTGGTAAGTACAAACTAATTTGTACATAGTAAGTAATGGCTTTGCTCTGTGTTTTAATGACAACATGCCAAATGTATTCTGGTGAGAACATACTCGGTTCACTACCTTCACCCAGGTTTGGATCTGTCCCATAGTCTTGAAATCTGTTATTCGGCCATCAGGTTTCGTATCTGGATGATTGAGAGTCAGTTAGAGGGTTCTGAATTGCCTTACAAAGCAACAGGAACTGCAGCAGGAAAAGATTGGCTCCACAACTGCAGCAGCTCCCCAAAGGCCTCTCTATCCCCAGCAGTCACAGACTGGCAGCACATTTCAGCCTGGTTCTGCAGAGAACATACCTCTCCCTACCCAGATGGGTCTTAATTTTTAAGTAGCATCAGAGTTCAGCAAATCACCTGTATTGCATTACTGGAGACTCAGCACCCTGAAAACCCCAGCACTCACAAGTAGAATAAATCATGCTCAGGAAAGCAGTGCTATATTGTACAATAGTCCTTTCAGTCAGCTACTAACCCAGAAGGGTCTGACGGCTGCTCAGGAAGAATTATTTAGAGATTTTCTTTCAAGTGATCAAATCATCTGGCCTGTTATTCCTCATTCAGAGTAGTGTTTTACATGCCACATGCCCACAGAAAAGTGGGCAGCACTGAGAATCTCAGCAAAAAATTCTTGTTCTTAAGCCTTTGGTGCTGCTCCAAGACAACACAAAGAACCTCTGAGGTTCAACTTGCTGCTAATAACTACTCCCTTTGGCTGTGCTCCAGTTTACCTGACTTGCTTCACATAAGCAAAAGGAAAACTGTCAGCTGCCTGTCTATAGGTATTAATCTAACAGCCAGTATGCATGCATACACTTCACGTTCTCATTAGGAAAAAAGAAACCTTGACACAGTCTGAATAACAAAAGCCATGGTTTTCCACCCTGCCAGCAGCCACCAGATGAACCTAACCCTGCTGGGTAGTAAGGAAAGCAAAACTTGCTTTACTACCATCAAAGTGGAAGTTTTGTCCTCCCTCCTAGGGTAACACTTATTTTAAATTAGTTACTTCTCCCTTTCCAGGACTTTGGGTACCAGTGTTTATTTCAGAGTATGCTATTCTCAGTGCCCAACTTCCTCAGTTCCTGCTCTGGCACAGGCTTGCTCTGTGTCCTCTGAGGGGCTGCTTCACCTTTTGTACAACGGACAAACTGTATGAAGTGTATCATCAGAAAAAATATTATCTTAGTTAAAGAACTAAAAGAATTGTTCTGACACCCGACAGCTCAGGAGAGCACATGCATGCAGCTTTTGGCAATGCTGCTGTGTGGCTGGGAAGTGCAGGCCTGAAGCGAATTGGGAGAATGGGAGACGTGGGCTTCAATTCTTTGGATTCTGGCTTTCTGGTTCTGTAATGTAAGAGGGCTGGAATGAAATCAAAGAGCCAGAATCACTCATTGAGAGTGGACAAGCAGCTACAATGGAGAAAACTAGCTTTACAGCCAAGTTCAAAGTAATAGCGCCAAAGGAATTACTAACATGCACACGAGGGAAGAACTTCGTGCTACAGCACAAACACAAGAATTGTTGGTACCAGATGTCAGGCTAATTGAACATGCAAACTCTTTAGTTTTACTGTTGCCAAATGCTCCAATTCAGTGAGGTGCTGAGAACCTGTGCTAAGACCCCTCCACTTCCCCTTAGGAAATGCCAGCTTTAGCGAACATACCAGAACATGCCCAAAATTTCCCATGCAGCACTTGAATGGAGTAGCAGACACAGCTACAGCCCTTGGCAAGCCTTCTACTTCACAAGCTTCCCTCTGGACAAGCACATGGAGGATATACACGCAGTGGCTATGAGTACACAGAATGATATAACTGAGCTCTGCCTGTGCTCTGAGCAAAATGAAGAACATGCAGCCATGTTACTGTGGCAGGGAACATGGACCCCCAGCCTTCTCTGCTAACTCAGCCCTGGGCTAACAGCAGCTATACAGCTTCCAGCTGGCTGAGAACAGGGCAGAGCGCTCTGCCTGGCTGCAAAAATACCACTGACATTCGTTCCCTGTGTTACCGACCCAATGCATTTTACTACATTAGTTTAAAGAACTCGGATACTCAAGTGAGAAGCATGAGCAACATGAATATTCTTCTGCTCAAGCAAAGTCTGCTGGTAACACTGGTGTCTCATAGGCCTGCTTCCTTCTTAAATCAGCCAATGTACACATCCAGGGAGCGGACACCACTGTTGTTCTTAGAGGAACATCTGTCCTGCATCACCCAGCAGCTCTAGGGCTGTGGGGCTGGCTTCAGGCTTAGGCATGGGAAGCTAAAAGCTATGAAGGGAGGTGACACAATGGGTACACGCAGCCATGGCGCTGAGAGTATTTTGCTCAGTTTACTGCAGCTGGGCAGCAAGACTATCCAAAAACTACCACTGATTTATTGACAGACATCTCTTACAGAACAGCCATGAGGGCACAGCCAGGGTCAGGGCTATTTACAGCATGGCAGGGGCATGGGATCCTCAGCAGCAGACATCACCTGAGCTGCCTGGGTCTTTCCCTTTGTCACAACTGTGATCACAAAAGGAGGAAATTAACTACTAAGATATTTTTGCAGTACTTCTTATGTTAATACCTTTTGAGACTTGTAGTACAGGCCAGTCTTAATACACTCACATGCTATTCTTTATTCACAGTGATCAGACAGTCTTTGTAAACACAATGTGATTTCCACTGGATTTATCTGAATGTGCTGGCACAGAAAAAGGAAAATCTGGTTCACAATCAATCATTCATTTTCAACAGAGCCAGCTGAGAAATGCCTTCCAGCTGTGTGGTTTATCTACCATGGAAATCTCAATTTCACATATGCAAATCCAAGCTGCAGTGAGCTCAGCTCTTTGAGACAGGAATTTTGTGGCACTGAAATTAGGAATACTACATGACAAAAGGCAGAATTTCTAGAAAAACTGGTTTGTACCAAAAAAGGTTTTTTTTTCTGTTTGGATTGGTTGTTGGGGTTTGTTTGTTTTTTTTTTCAATGGAGCAGGAGTGAGAAACAAGCAAAAACTGCTGTAGCCTAGAGGCCTGTGAATGGAGCAGAAGATTTATGCCAAGGAAAGGGTAACTGCTAGTAAGGATCAAGGTACCTAAAGACTTCAGTAACTATAGCATTTCATAGAAAAGACAGAATTTTCCCCTCTGGACTGCTGATGTCGGTGTGGAAGTTCCCACACTCTGCTGCCAACTCCTAAGGGCATTCAATTCAGCAAAAGTGAGGGGTACTTCATGACAGGGTTTCCACTGGCTGGGACTAGACTTCTGTTTTACGCATCAGTTAAAAATTACCTATTTAATTATCAAGTCTCCAGACCTACGATATGTAATACACATCTTCTTGCAAACTCACTATCTTAGCAGCGCACAGAAACCTCAAACACTTTAAAATTTCTGAAGTCTTTCTATAACAAAGGCTTCTCATCAATTTTTCTGATCCTGCTGTGGCCTTGGCTTCTTGGAAAATGTTATATTTCGGTGTCATTGTCTTATACATCACATTTCAACCTCAAGAAACCATCATTTTCTCGTATAACCTGATACGTATTTTCCTGGGAAATATTCCCAAGCATGTATATCCCATAGTACAGAATTTATGCTCCTCTAAATGGATCTGTTATTTGCCAAAACATATGGAAAGGATAGAACACCATCTTCTACAACAGCAGCATAACATTTATTAGCTTTTAAAAAGAATTTCCGTAACTTTAAGATAGCACCATGAAGATCTAAGAGGAGAGAAATGAATGTGATTGGCAGCAAAATGGAGTCCAAGTGTCAAGGCCTGTTTACACTGAAAAGCACCAACTGAGTCTGAGTACTCACCTATGTCTTGAATAATTTTAAACAGCTTTAACAAGGAAGTAAGTCTGCCGTTGAACTTAACTTGCCAATTCTGTGACATGCCCTAAGTCAGATTCACCTCCACTATCTATATCCTTGGAAACTGTCTTTCATGTAAAAAATGAAGCTCTAACAACATTCTCCTGACTGGTAATTTTCTTTCAGAAAAGATCTCAACTTGCTTTGCTACTGATGGCCCAATCTAACACAGATTCTAGCAGCCATGATTCATGCAAGATGTCATACTTCAAAGAAGCCACAAGAAATATTATAGGTTTGGAAAAGAAGCCTTCTAACCAGACTCAAGGAACTCAATCTGTTTAGTTGAAGAGAAGTGAGAAACTATGTCCTCTATAAGTACTTCAATGAGAAACAAAAGTATGTTAACAGGAGGCTCTTCAATTTCTAAGCAAAGGATTAAAAGCAATCACTATCTAAATGAAGTCAAACCTAGACAACTCACAGTGAAAAGCAAGTAATTATCCACTGGGCACTAATGAAATATCTTTTACCTGCAATGCTTAAAGAAGAGTAGATGTTTTTTCCCCTCAGAAGAATATGACCTCAGTGAAGCAGAAACTAACCCAGGGGGGTCCAATGGCCTGTGTTATACAGATCAGGCTGGGTGATCCCAAAAGACCTTCCTGCTTTAGAAAGAATCATGAGTTGCAAGTATCTCTTTTTGTATTTAAATCCAAATGGTCTCAACTTAGAACTGATGAACAGCCGCTAGCAATTAATGTGTAAGTAAATATAAGGCACAATTAAAAACCTCTTGATATTATCTATTCTTTGTAGATCCTACCTAGGGCAAAAGACTGTGATGAAAGATTTCACCAGAGCTTGAGCAAGTTATTGCAGGTCAAATTATTGTAACACCTTTCATTTTCGCATGTTAGCTTTTCACTGCATGTTATTCAGTGTTGCTAGATGGAGCCAGACAGCTTGTATGATAAGGAAAAGTCCATTCTGGTCTGGTTTTCTGTGCAATGAAAAAGATGGAAACTTCCTTCTGTCAACATCAAGTCACTTCTTTCAGCAATGCTCTTTCAAAGGCTGGCATTGCTGCATATGCCTGTTACTTCCACGGGGAAAAGTAATTCATGTCAGTAAATAATACAAATACTGTCACAGATCCAAACTCTACTTGTCAGGCTTGTGCCTAAACAATTCAGAAAAGGCTGCTTTTCCGAATTTTGGGTGAAGGCTGAAATGGGGGAGTTTTTATATTAATTGCATGGTTAAGGCTTGACAAATGTGTCTTTTTGTTAATTTATACAGGTCCTGATGGAGAGAAGGCCTGGCCAAAGAAATACCCATTTTGTGGAGGAATATTCCAGTCACCGATAGATTTTCACAAAGATATTCTCCAGTATGATTCTAATCTCTTACCTTTAGAATTCATAGGCTATAATGTGTCCTCCACTGACCAGTTTACATTGATCAATAATGGTCATTCAGGTAAGGAAGCTCAATGACAGCATGTGATTGTGAAAGAAAGAGGGAAAAATTGTTGCTGAAGCTTGTGATTTTTTTTATTTCATGGGTGAACTACTTTGATTATCAGATGAAATTAAGCTGTAATGATGAAGGCTTTACATCAGCATACCTACATCTACAGAACATTTTTTTCTTCTTTCCTGAAACATTTGAAGACATAGAAATAAGAACAGTTATAAGACCCTCCTTCTTTGTATCCTCCTCTACTGCATAAGCACCAAAAGAACGTGTGTTATAAAATGGCCTCTGCCTCTGCTCTTCTCTGGCACACTTGGTTAAAAGATACAGCACACAAACATTGCTTTTTTTCTCACTCCTTCAGTGGGGTAAACCTGCTCTGTACACCACCATAAACCCATTCTTCAGTATGGGCCAACCTCTTAGGGCACACTTACTGGATTTCCTCTTGATCAATTTCTCCATCAAAACTAGGTTGCTCTAGACTAGGAATGGCTGGAACACCCTTTCCTTGTGAACCATCTTTTCCTAAGAGCTTTTCTCAGTCCTGAGTAAAAGATTGGACTGTCACAGCTGAATGCATTAGGCTGATGTGACAGGCAATAGGCAGAGAAGGAAACATTCTCATTGTGGACTTCAGCTGTGCCAGGTAACAAGTGGAGACAAAAGAACACTGAGAGGCTGTCCCTCACAGTCACACAGGTATAAGCATATTCCTCATAGAGCCCTCTCATAAATCACTAACACTGTTAGATCTTGCCCCTAAGAAGTTCAACAGTTTCCTAATGTAAGCCAAAACTAAAATACATCGCCCCCCTCAGTAAAAAGGGGAATTCGCTTCTAAGGTCAGTGCCCTCCTAGAAAGCAGGGGACATGTGACCCATGCTAGTAACCTCAATCAGATACAAACCTGAATTGCCCCGAGTAATGAAAAATTAGCCTCTAAGTGATCATTGCCACATCTGCTGCTATATTCTCTTATGGCTGGAGAATAAATCAGTAGGATGCTTAGTACTGTGGTGATACCACATTCGATTCCTAGTTATAAGAAAACAGAAAAAGGTTATAAATTCTTCTGAATTACCTAGAAAGGGTTAAAGACAACTTGAAGTGTTTATCTCCTACCACAGACTGAGATGGATACGAGTTAAGAATCTGCTTTGTTCATGTTCCATATGTAATATACTTAGACAAACATACATTTGCCCTGTGCTTGAAAGCTGTGGTATCATTTGTTTCCATTTGGTTTTGGTCTGCTTACAGTGAAAATGTACCTGTTGCCTACTATGTACATCAGAAACCTCCCGTTTGAATATACAGCATCTCAACTTCACCTCCACTGGGGAAACAGAAACAAGTCAGAAGGCTCAGAGCACACAGTCAGTGGGAAGCACTTTGCAGCAGAGGTAAGCCAGGCTCAGAACAGGGACAGAAACAAAGGCAGCTGGGCAGGTCCCACTGTCTCAAAGTGGGAACTATATCTTGGGCATATGACTGTAAAAGGCTGCAAGGTTCTAATCCAAGTATTTATGACCTGGGTATATACAAAGAAAACACATTTTGCATTGCAAAAAAGGATGGACCCTGACATACTTTCCTGAATATGCCAAAAGTCAGGGAGTTAGAATTCAGGTTCTGAACTCAGGACCAGCACTGGGTCACTTGAGTAATTTCAAGCAAATTGCTAGATACTCAGCACCTTGGTTCTTCTCTATAAACCATGTGTATCTTTTAGCTGCATGACATTGCTTCTGCTTTTACTTGCCTTCTATTCAGTGAAGAACTATTTGTTATCTTTTCAATCCTAAATTATGGATTTGTGAAGAGATTTTGAAAAGCCATACCCATCAGCTATTTACCCCAAAATTATTAAAAGAGAAATCAGAATAATTTCATAGAATCACAGAATAGTTAGGGTTGGAAAGGACCTTAAGATCATCTACTTCCAACCCCCCTGCCATGGGCAGGGACACCTCACACTAAACCAGGCCACCCAAGGCTCTGTCCAACCTGGCCATGAACACCGCCAGGGATGGAGCATTCGCAACTTCCCTTGGCAACCAATTCCAGTGCCTCATCACCCTAACACGAAAGAACTTGTTCCTTATATCCAATCTAAACTTCCCCTGTTTAAGTTTTAACCCGTTACCCCTTGTCCTATCACTACAGTCCCTAATGAAGAGTCCCTCTCCAGCATCCCTGTAGGCCCCCTTCAGATACTGGAAGGCTGCTATGAGGTCTCCACGCAGCCTTCTCTTCTCCAGGCTGAACAGCCCCCACTTCCTCAGCCTGTCTTCATATGGGAGGTGCTCCAGTCCCTGATCATCCTCGTGGCCTCCTCTGGACTTGTTCCAACAGTCCCATGTCCTTTTTATGTTGAGGACACCAGAACTGAACACAATACTCCAAGTGAATAATTTGCTTATTTTGAATAATCCATTTCTTCTCTAGTTACATTTAATCCCAGGTTTTGCATTCTAAACACTGCAGAACCCCAAGAGTGCCAAGATGTTACTTGTTCAGAAAAATTCCCTAGTACTGCAGTCAAGACGCCTTGAAACTGAAGTGACTGATCCTCTTCCTCCCCCTGCCCAGTATGTAGAGGAGGGAGGGTGTAACTCAGCTGCAGCAGGGCTGGGAGTGGGAGTTCCAGGACCTTCTGCCTTTCTCTAAAAAGATCTTACCGCGACACCAAGAAAGCAGTGAAGGATCCCATTGTATTGTCTTAGCCTGAGATGGCTGCACTGGTCCTTTTTAGCTGTGAAACAGAAATGTGAGCATGCCCCAGATGTCACCATAACATACCATCTCCTTCCTTGTAGCTGCATATTGTACATTATAACTCTGAGAAATATCCAGATGTAACAGCAGCAATGGACAAAGCAGACGGACTGGCGGTTTTGGCTATTCTTTTTGAGGTAGGATCAGGACCTTTTTTTATTTGGCTTAGAATATACTTTCAATCATTAAACCATCAGAGACCTCTTATGTACAAATTTCCTAGATTATTTAACAGTGCTGTAGCTAAATCAAGCCTCTTCCTTTTCGCTTTCAGAAAAGGGCCAGATTCCAGCAACACATACATAAACAGGAATAAATTTTAAGAAAAGAGGGATTCTGAATATTTCCTCATGTTTTTCAGTAAATTATCTTCAGCTATGTTAAATCCATCTTTGCATTCACTTACAAATTAAGGATTAGTAGAGTTTGTCAAACAACAGTGGATTTCAATTACTGAAAAGTTGCCTATTGTAGCACAAAGCAGTTTTAAGACAGCAGAGACACAGGCAGACACAACCCAGGCTTTGGCCACTATATGTAATTAGGATTTGACCACAGTCTTCAGGTTGCAAACTTCCCAGATTCTTTGAATCACATATTACAGTAAACAAGAACATGCAGTGCCCTTTTTCAGATCATGGAAGGACAGCTTTCTAATTTTCTCCAATTAAAGCGAATAATGATCTTAAAGAAAAACTTTTAGAAGCTTGTACATATATAATTCTTTTTCTTGAGGATTAAAGCTTCTCAATAAGATAACTAAGAACTAAGATTTCATACTTTTCATCAAAACCATGAAAGTGTCTAGTTAGCAGACAAAGCTCTAATTCTCCAATTCTTACTATTATCCAAGCTCACCTCCTAGCAGCTCTAAGACTTTGGCCTATTTTCTGTTAAATTTCAGCTCATTTGGAAGTTGCAGCTGTGAAAAGTGTCAGAGTATTGTGTATTATGCTAGTGAATAATACTGGGATTCTGCTTATTGCTAAGTAATAGCGTTTAAAAATCAAATAGGGGAACAATGGAGATTAGATCTTTGAAAAGCTTTCAGACAGCTGGTGTCCATTACAGTTGATCTAAGGACACCAGTATACTATGTCATCAGAGAAACTGCTAAGCACCAGCTCTAAAGGATTAATAAAAAAAGGCATTGATTATTAGACTGAAAAGCTGCTGGTAGCAGTTGAAAAGCGTGGTCTTGTTTGGTAGTTGACTTACAGCCCTTGCCAGTGGCCCTGCAAAAACCAACAGTGTCATTCTTTATCTTACTCACTATGAGGAGCAGCAGACTAAAAAATGTTTGTGGGTGGAAAAATGTGGCTTTGACTAGAAACCACTAGATGATCCAAGAAATCTGTCAGTTGAGAACTTATGCCTGCAATGTTCTCAGAGGAACTGGTTTCTCCTCATTTGCATTGCATGCTGAACAGGCGAGGGCAATAAGGCCTTTCAAGCACACACAAGAGGTCTACAGTGCACCTAAGATAGTATTATAACAAAGAAGCTCTAATAGCTCTCTGGAGTAAGAGAATTATTGGGGTTCTGAGGGTAGTGTTAATGTTTTGCATAAGAAAAGTACTTAGGCCATTCTAGTTTATGAGTACCTGGATAGTTGAGACACCTGCCTTACGATAGAGGCTGTCAAATACTGCTGCCTGCTGTGTGCAGAAGCAAAGACTCATATTCAGCCTGCAGTGATTTGCACAGCTGTTAATAGCCTGTTCATTACAGATTGGACCCTTCAACCCATCCTATGAAAAGATCTTCAGGCACTTCCGGAATGTGAAATACAAGGGTGAGTGGCTAATAGCCTGCAATGGATTTAGAATGGCCAAGAGTATCAGAGGTCACCCTGAGAGGGACTGAACCACCTGAAGAAGCAGCCCAGAAAAACAAAATTCCAGGCCAACCTGCCACAGACTGTGAAAGACTTAAAAACACAGTGGATTTCTGTGAAGAGTGTAGGGCTAACATACACATAACAACCACGTGTTTCTGACTGGGTCTTATTTCTTGCACATGGTGTTATTTGGTTAAAATGGCCACTCTTTATCTTACAGAATTCTGATTTGGAATCTAAGACATGATTTGTACAGAGGAAACCTAAAAAGCTGTAATCCTGATTTAAACTGGGATCATCTCTGTTAAAATATATTTTTCTTTTCCTACTGATATGTCTGAAAGTATCCTACTTATTGAAAAGCAAATTCACTTCACTGGTGCACTACCTGTGTAGTAACAATGCAGCTTTTAACATGAATCCCCTATTTTAGATCAGCTGGTCCAAGTCCCTGGTTTCAATATCCGAGAACTGCTTCCTGACAGACTGGATGAGTACTATCGCTATGAAGGATCCCTGACAACTCCTCCCTGCTATCCTAGCGTTCTCTGGACAGTTTTCCGACACCCCGTTAAAATTTCACATGAGCAGGCAAGTTTAAACCCAGCACATGTTCTCCTGAGCAGTGTCTGCCCAACAACAGTCAACACACATTCCCATTTCCTGGATTTCTCTTACATTCCTGTAAAACTGAAATATGTCCATTGCTAAAATCCTTTAAGTAAGAAGAGTAGCACAGAACTGACATAAATCACTATCCTGTTCTGTTCGCAGTTAGCACTTCTCAGTTGACCAGAATAAATAAAAGGACAGACAACTGCATATAGTATACTATAGTATAGTATCAGCTTGAAAAAATCACAGTCAAGTGAGATTAATTTGTTTTCACCATGTCCTTATTCCCCGCTTTTAGTCTTTCCATAAATCACTTACGGATTTTTATCCAGGTTTCAAGTCTGAACCCTATTCACAAGGTATTTCAGTGCTGCTTTTATCTTGACTAACATAGGCATGACTGGCTAGATGTTAAGTTTCTCAAAGGCATGTGATAAGTCATTTGTCAATTTTGAATCTCCTAACTTTTCTCCAACTTACTTTTTTGTGCTCTCCCGATTAACTTCTTTTGTTCTTAGGTAGCCACTTCCATAGACTATAAATTGCCAATCATTATCTTCTGATTCCCCTCATAATAAACAAAGGAAGAACATGTTATGATTAAAATTTCTGGTTAAATTAATGCATGCTCCTTGTTACGAAAGTCCATTCTAACTATGTCCACTTGTCGTGGTTTAAGCCCAGCCAGTAACTCAGAACCATGCAGCTGCTCACTCACTCCCATTTCTTCCTCAACCCCCATTCTTGGATAGATGGGGAGGAGAATTAAAAGAATGTAACTCCCCACTGGTTAAGATAAGAGTAGTCCAGTAACTAAGGTATAACACAAACCACTACTGCTGCCACCAATAATAATAATGATAAGGGAAATAACAAGGGAAGAGAATATAACCGCTTACCACCTGCCACCCAATACCACCAGCCTGACACGAGCAGTGATCTAGTCCTTCTGGGTAACTGCCCCCAGTTTATATACTGGGCATGACGTGCTGTGGTATGGAATACCTCTGGCTAGTTTGGGTCAGGTGTCTTGTCTCTGCTTCCTCCCGGCTTCCCCTCCTCCCTGGCAGAGCATAAGACTCACAAAGTCCTTGATGAGAGCAAACATTACTGAGCAACAATCAAAACCATCGGTGTTATCAGCGCCGTTCCCAGGCTGCAAGTCAAAAACACAGCACTGCACCAGCTACTGAGAAGGAGAAAAATGACTGCTACTGCTGAACCCAGGACACCACTCTACCAGGTCATGTCTTTACCAAAGTAGAGAATTCCTTCATAAAGTAGCTTCTAGGACTGCTAAGGAGTTAGACTGTGCTAGGGAGAACATTGTTGCATGTTTCCCCCCATGCAGTTTTCCTGGCAGATAATTACTAAGCAGGATTACCAGGTATGAGTTTGGAGATATTACACTGTTTACACATCATTCTGTATTTGGCCTCACAGTCCACACATGGCTTAAGTATTACTTATTGTAACCTCTTCCCTTTGATTACCCCTTTGATTTCAAACACATACTCTCAGTGATCATACACTAGCATTGCTTTTTCTGTATTCTGGGAGCTGAACAGGGTGTTTCTCTTTTTAGTTACTGGCATTGGAAACAGCCATGTACTGCACAGAGAGTGATGACCCAGAACCCCTGGAAATGGTCGATAACTTCCGGAAAGTTCAGGAATTCCAAGAAAGACTGGTGTTTATCTCATTCCGTGAAGGTGAGTTGTATGAATGCTTCTATGAAAAGAAACAGTGCACAGTAGTTTGTGTAAACCTGAAACACTGAAGTGGCAGTCCTGTTGCACCATATCAGTACAAAATCACAGCAATCTCATTTCTCCACAGTTCACTTGGTTTACTTTTCTTCTCTTACTGCAATATTGCATGGCTGACTGCACAAGAATTAGGTATTCAGAGTATATAAAAAGGGTTTTTTTCCCCAATGGTATCAGGCAAGCCCTGCAACCCTTCTGATCAAAGGTGAGGAGATAAAAGACCGAAGACCTGTTTGGCCTTGTCACACTTAGCAGAAATATCTGCTGTCACTCCAAACACTGAACAGTTCTCCATTCAGTGAGACAGAACTTCACTGAGCTGTTTCAGTCAGTGGAAGTGCTTGAGCTGACCTTGTCTCACCAGTGACATTTGCTGGTTCTCAGCAACTTCAGGATTGTTTTTATGCAGATTCAAAGGGAATCACAACTTCGCCTTTCAGGGAGACTATGTTTTGGGGAAATCACACAGAATCAGAAGAGGCCAGTGAGGAATTAAAACTTGACAAATTAAAACAATTTGTAACACTGGATTGTATGTTCTAGTGTTACAAATGAAAAAAGATTTGCCATCTTACGAGGAAAACTGATTTAAAGGCTTAATTATGCAGTGTGACACAATGACAATGCATAGGGGCTTTTCTGGGGGGCGGGGTGTGTGCAAAAAATCCTGCATCTGTGGCGAGAAGCTCAGCTGTGCTCCACAGTAAGGCATCTGAGCATATTGTCTGTGCCAAATGTATTGTTCCAATTTCTGTGTTGCCTTGCAAACAAATACTCTTAAGCAGTTGTGAAGCTGGCACATACTCTAAGGCACATGGATTTAGGCAAGCCACTAAGCTATTTGAAACACAGAATAAAAGATTTTTAAAAGAAAAAGCAGACTTTATAAAAATGATTGGCCAAGCAGTAAACTTCCAAATTAATACAATGTGTTAGCACATCAGCTCAACTTTGCCTGCTAGGTTCTTTACTGTTTAGATGAAAGAACAGAAAACACAGTCCCTTTCATAATACATCTTTTCTAATACAAAGCTATAAAGGAGAAAAGTGAAAATTAGAGATCAGCCAAAACAAATCCCAGACAAACCACTTCTCTGAAATCAGAGATGATTTAGATCTGTCACCAAAAGTTGCCTGGTCTCTTTGCCTGATTAGCTGCTACAGAACTCCCAAGCAGAGCAGTGTGGGGCTTCAGAAGCACTGGGCCGTTATTTGAAGCAACTCTCTCTGAAGCAAATTCGAGATAAAACCCAGAGACAATTTCATTCTGTGGCTGGGGCCATTTCAGTTCGCATGGAAACATTTTTTCAAGATTCCCGTAAGAGGAACATAATTTTACCATGAAGTTTATTTTGAGTGCCTTCTCCGGAACTACTGCACATCAGTAGGTACGATGATGCTACTGCCCTTGATACTTAAGTGTGCTTCTCTCACTGAGTTGTAATGTTTTAGATCTTCATTTCTCTGTCTTTTTACTGGAGTGAAAAATAGTTAACAGTTCAGAGCTGATTGACTGTGTGGCTTGAACCACAAGCCATGAATTCCCATTCTCCAGCTCTGCATTAAATCTCTGTATAATCTCTGTATATTCCATTATCTCCAGAGCTCCAGTGACAAAGGCTACACCCCATTAACTGCTGCATCTCCTGACTTTTGTTTTATAAACCATTCTGTCTGCAGACAACATGGTGGGTCCTCAGGAGAAGCATTATGGACCAGATGTATAAAGAGCAGGCTACAGTGCTGCTAAAGGCAATGCACAGTTATATTGCCTTTCAGGGATCCAAATTCAGGGATCCAAAATACCTCAGTTTCTCACTTCTGTACACTCAGCAGAAAGCTACTGAATAGAAAAACAACTATTTTAACTTGCAGTAAGGAGCAGGAACAATGATTTAAGAATTTAAGAAGACATGGGATACTTCCCAGTTGTGAGGTGCAGAGAAACAGCATAATCGTAGAATAGTTTGGGCTGGAAGGGACCTTAAAGCTCATCTAGTTCCCTGCCATGGGCAGGGACACCTTCCACTAGACCACACCTTTAACATAAGATTCAGAAGCAGAAGATGTTATGCTTTATGAGTGAAGTCCTCACTATATGACTTCGTTTTTACTGAGCATCTTGAAAAGTGCTCAGGTTCTCAAGGACCCTCCTGTCTGTACACAGTTTGTAAACACAGGCCTAGAAAACCAACTTTCCCTCAAAATAGCAGAGCAGTTTTCATCTGTAATCCTCATTCTGGAAGCTAGGAATGAATTAATTCCAGACACCTCAAAAAAAGGGCCCCAAGCCTGTTGAGACTCCAGTGCTTTGTAAACATCCACACTAGGTCTTTCCAGTCAAGCAGCTGAAGCATTTTTCTGCTTTCATTGTAATTTCTCCATTTAGTTCTTGCCTCCAAAGGTATCTTACCATCTTTCCCATTACTAACAGCAGATAGGTAAATATTTAAGTCTAAACTAGTTTAGTTTAGTTATATCTGTCTCCTATTTAAAGCTATCATTTCTGCTCTTGAATTACTGCTGAGAGAAGTTACTCTCATCAGCCACCTCTTTTCTCATTTTAATTTGTTTAATGTTTGGAGCCCAAGAAGTTTGTATTACGCTGGTAACAAGAGAAAACCTTGTTTCTTGACTGTAATATGACTGCATTGGACAGAAGTTAATTCTCTGACTATACACATCACACTTGGGATTTTGCTGGCTCTGTTTCTTGATTTCTCATTGTATACTATATAACGCCATAATTTTACTTTTCTATTCTGTCTTCATGCCTCTTACCAAGTCCCAAGGCTGCCACTTGCAGAGAATAATGGTTATAGAACAATGCCTCAATTTAATGTCATTTTTAAATGAGAACTACGCTAGTAGTTCTCTTGTTGCTGATCCTAACCAAATATATAAGAAAACTGCAAGTCTACCAAATCATCAACAACCTTTAATAGTTCCATGACAAACTGGAAGTATTAGTTGCAGAAAAGGTATTCTGAATAAACTAAAAGCTGGGTAAAGAGTGAAAAAGGGGAAGAACCAGAGTATGTCAGTCCTTCAGCTTTTGTGAACTGGACAACTAGAAATACCCCTCTCCCCCATGGCATATAGCCAGGAATAGGGTTAAAACTTTTCCCTCAAGCCCCTCCATCTCAAATACTGGCTGCCACCTAGACAATTAGTTGGGTCCAGAACAGCAATTTTAGTAACCTCCTTCAAATCTCTGCTCAAGTCAGATTATGTACAATGATTTTAAACAGCAGAACTGGGATCTGCAATATGGCTGCTGAGTTTCTGAGACTACAAGGCTTCCTCTGTAGGGTCCTTCTTAAATCTATGCGCAAACAATCCAGCATAGCAATGATGCTATAGAAACAGTTACGGAAGTAACAGAAGTTCTGGGGTGAGCAGCTCCCTTATGTTTAAGACCAGTTCACCATGAAGTCCCAGAGACCCAACTTATACCTTTTTACCCTCTCAATTTATCAAGAATCAATACCTGGTGGACTTGGCAAGGGTCTGTTGCTGATTGCTAATGACACCTATGAGCTAGTGATTTTCTGGTCAATCAGAAGTGAGAAATGCCATTTTCCATCTGTTTCTTATGCTGACCTTTCAGCACCTGACTACTCTCTCTCCATAAATCACACTCAATACTTAAAAGGTAGAGAGTTAGAATCCATGATCCCAGTAACTGAAAATCAGATACTGTGCTTTTCATCCAGGAATCTCTAAACACTTCACAGAAATAGTATCAGCATTATTATTTCCATCTATGGTGGAAAATTTGACCCAGATGTGACTTTCTCAAAACTGGTGCTGTCAACCAGTGCCAAACCCAAGAATACTATTTGGCTCTCCCTCTGCTAAGCCACATTATTTGGCTCCCATGCAGAGGTTACACCAGCTACAAAGACATTTTCAATGTTATCTTTAAAGCTGGCAGGCCTTACCAGAGTTGTATTATCTGGGTTATTGCCCATCCTGCTGTTCTCACCCAAGAACTGGCCTTGGTGGCTACAAAAGGCATTGCTCAGTGCTACTTTACTAGAAACCTCATTCAATCTAAGTACATTTAATTACAAAAGCTCATTGACTCTATCAGTGAACCACAGAAAAATGCTCTACCCACTTCAAAAAACGTATTCATCACCCCTGTAATCTCACATTCCACCAGCCTGGGTCACAAAGGCTCCGTCACAGGTGCAGCCCCTCGCCCCAAGGGGAAACAACCAAAACAAGAACAAAAATGAGAAAACTAAGGGTCCTGTCAAAGCACAATTAAAGTGCACCTGGTTGCTGCTGAAAATGCACAGGCTGATGCAACTGCAGGCAGGAACAGAGCAGAAGGGAAGGAGAGGCCATACCTAGAATCATGGCTTGGACCATGCAACCAGACATTTGTGAACGAAATCCTGTCGTGCACATGCTAGGCCCCTGCTAACGCAAGTTCTCAGCACAACTTTCATGCCTTTTTAGTTTTAAGACTGAGAGCTGCCATCTTCACCCAAGCACAGCCGCCACGAGATGGGGACACTGAGCTGGGCTGTGTGTCAAAAACGCAACCGAAGCGTCCGGACATCCACACTTTGATGTTGACTAAAATCTAAATTCACGCTCACTATTAACAAGTACCACATTTTGAAATGTCTCTAATCTTAAAGGATTACTCAGCAAAACTTACATGTGTTTATAATGTCTCTTGCCTGTCAGCAGTCTATTCCAATAAAATCAGCTTCACATGTGTGCAGCTGAAATTTATTAGGATGTTCAAACCTTCCACTGCCCACAAGTTAAATGGGAACTGGTGTCTCGTTTTGATTACAGCACCATGCTGAAATACTATCTAACTACATTTTACAAGAAGGTCTTCTCATCAAAAAGAAATGCCCCCTATCCTTCCTCTTCAAACTAAAAGCTTTTTTCTACAATTACCTATTTGGTGATTTATTTCATTGCCCATTTGACCCCACCTTTACTATTAAAGAACCTACCCTTCTTTAAAACACAGTTTTTTCTTCACCTGTACGGTTTGCAAGTTTCTTCTATGCAGTTGTACTTAAAATTAATAAAGCATCTAATGTGTAAAATGGGATAAGGTTAAACTCCAGGTATTACATTTCTGTTTCCTCAACAGCTGATTTAGTAAGTGGAAATATTTACATGGTATACATGAAACCTCTCAGCTTCACTCTGAAGCTGATGGTGCTTAGAAAAAAACAGGCATTTGATAAAATATACAAACAGTGGGTGAAGGAATTATGAAAAGGCAGTTAAGAAAAGAGTGCTCACCTTCAGGATCTTTGGGAAGGCCAAAATCAGTATTGCCAAAAATACGTATGAAGGTCATTATCAAAGACAGCATTCCTATGATAAACCTTAAAGTGTCAAGGCAGACATAAGATCACTCAGCTCTTTGTGCTAATAGCTGAATTCATTCTTACCTTCTTAGATGCCTTCAAGCAATGCTCTCAACAGCAAAGCGTATCACTCTCCAGCTGTCCACATTCAAGTGTTCTGCCTTGAAAAAAAACAAAAGGCATCAAATTTAACATTCTCTGTGGCTCAGATTTAGTTCTTCAGTTTTGCTTATGCTCTCTTCTACATGAGAGCAGTGAAATCCACAGAGTTTCTGATCTGCTATGCCTGTGCCTGCATGCTGGCTTTGTGCCTTTGGTGGGTATCTAAATTCACAGCATTGTGAACTGTGGATACAGCTGTGGGCTCAGAACTTTCCAATACGCATCTATGCAAAGTTATCCATTCCATAATTGCAAAGTGGTATGAGCAGGCTGCAGGGAAGTTGCAGATGCAGAATGCAAATGTTATGACAAATCAGAAACTAACCTCACAAGTGAATAAAGTTAACAGGTTTGTATGCTTTCCCTCCTTTCCTAGGTTTTGTTGTTTCTGTTGTGATAGCCTGTGTTCTGGGAGTGCTCATCATTCTTGCAGTAGTCTTATGCCTATTGAAGAGGAAAAGGTAAGATGTCTGGCTGTCACATCACAGGAACAGAATCAAACCAAATTTTGTTTCTGACACAAAGAAGTGCTTGTGTGTTCAAAACCTTGCACATTTTTTATAGTGGTAAAGGTTGATGTTTTATAAGATACAATCCCTTCCTACGAGCTTTGATTTGTTTTTTATTTCTCCTGTATCAGATACTCCAGAGTAACTCTATTTGATTGCCATCAAAATATTTTTATATGCCACAGTGGTCACCATTCTGCCATTGTAGGAACACTGTTTTTTTTGTGAAAAGCAACCATATAAGGCCTTTTTTCCACAAAATAATAATTACTGGAACAGTGCTTATGTAAACCCTTAAAGATACAAGGTCAGGAAACAGTGCTCTATGTGAGCACTGTGGAGAACACAAAATGACTTTCCAGTCTAAGTACTGACTGCTCCCACAAGTTAGGAAATGAGACTCCCCTTCCAGACAGAGCAGAACAAGCATGCTGGGTCGGTAACAAACTTACCCTGTTTTTCTGTTTCTCAATTGCCATTTGTTATTTTTCTTGTTCTCTTTGCTAGCACTGCTGCTTCTACTTGCTTTTTGAATCCTTTCATTTCTTCCTAGAACAGTCAGTGAAACAAGAGGGGAATGGAGTTTTAGGAAAAAAAAACACCTCTCCCAAAGGTCACATCATTTGAGGAGAAGAAATCTGTACTGACAAGAGATCATTTAGCAGAGTGCCACCAAAGCCAAACTCTGAGGAAAAAGACTAAGATTACAAACATTCCTATAGCCTGATCCCTTTGTGATCAGCACTGACTCTGCCTCACAGAATGCATTCTCCTGAAATATTTGTAACAACAAGTTACATTTGCACCAGTACAGAAGAAAAAAATCTCATGCACTTATGATGGGCCATTTTAAGTAACTAATGGTGCTTTTCTTTCACAGGAATTACAAGTATTGAATATATTTGTTTTATTTTAGCTGCAAAAAGGAAGGCAAAGACAACAGAGGGGTCATCTACAAACCAGGCACACACAAGGAGGAAGATATCTCCAAACTTTGATGCCTTGCTCTGTCCCAGAAGACCCTTTTCATTCATAGCACTGACTTATTTTGTGGTGTTGGAACATCTCTCTTGTTCTTGGCTAATGACAGTACCCAAGAGTGTTCTAAAAATGTACTGGCCACAAGTTTTCTGTGTCCCTTGAGCTCTTGTTTTCCAGGGAGACAGGATCAGTGAATACTCCTGAGCTGAATTCCTCACAACATACTTTTTACATTTGCTGCTTACTGAGTCCTGCTCTTCTAACTGATTTCACAGTTAATCCTAAACTTCAATGTTATGGTTTGTTCAGCACAGATTTTCTCACAGGTGTTCAAATCTTAAGACACTTACCCAGCTACAAGCACTCTTCCCTGCTGAATCAGGTACTGGCTTTAGCATCATGAATATAAACCAAGATAAAGGACAACGTGTATTGGAGATCAGACTTTGAACTCAGTGGATACAGTTTTTAAAATCACAGCAAATGATGTTAGTACATTCACCGGTGGCTTTGTAACAAATACTAGAGGAAAAGACAAGTGTAAATGCAATGAGAGCCACATGGATTGTTAATGGCACTTAAACCCAGGAACTCAGTGCTGAAAAAACACTACTGCCAGAGGAACAGCTCACTTTCCAGTTATTCTACAGCTCACAAACCTGCTATGGAGGTCAGCCACTGGAATTAGAGAAGCATGTTGATGTCTTATTCTGCTCTTATTTATAGTGTGGGTATGAATGATGCAGAGATAATGCAGCTGCTGTCACTTCTAAGTAGACAAGCCATTTAATCATGAAATATCTACTGACTTTAGAATATATATATTACAACTGCAATTATACAGTAGATAATTTTGCTGATTTATTTCTCTGAATTGAGTGTTAGAAAGTAATCAAAATTATTTTTCCAAATCTCATAAGCTCTTGAGTCTTATTTTTGAAAGTGAAAAGCATAAACCTTCTGTTTCCACTGAAGACAATGTGAAATGTCATTGACTTCAGGAAGAATAGTGTTTAGCCAACCTAGCCTCAGACGCATACAGAATTCCTCTTGAATTTGACATATGAAGTGAGCATCTGTCATGCTTGTACTTCAGTACACAGGCAAGGAATTGAGCACAGGATTATACCTAAAATAACTTCAGGTCTGAATGCTGCTAACCACCACCTGGGAAGTTCTAAGCCAAATTTTACACTTAGATCTGTTCTACATTGAGTAGCACCAGCATATATGTGATTTAAAATAAATAAGTTGATACTTATGTGTTTTCTCTTTTATCAATGGTAGATGCACACTTAGGTTTTAGATTCTCCCCCTTCCACATCTGAGAAAACTGTTTCATGTCAAAAGCAAGCTTTTGAGTGAAAGGAGAAATAACTTATTACTACTTACTGTACATGAAATTTAGAAGCAAGAAATTCAGAAGAAGCGATTTACCTTACAACTAATTACACTGCAATTGCCACGATTTTTATCTTGCACAAACAAGCACATAAAGATCATCTTGTTGAAATGTTTGAAATTTACTTAAAAAGCATCATTTATGTGCTCTGGGAAACACTTATTCTTTGAATGCAGGTGTTTAAAGTCAAGAAATGATAATAAATTTTTATGGTGTTTCTTTGGATTTTCTTATTTCTTCTAGAAGAGCAACATTTTCATTCAGCTCAGCTGACTGCAAACATGGATCAATCACTCTCTTTTGCATGCAACATCCTGGGTATCTGTAACAAGAAGCATACAAACCTCGGCCAAGTACTGGATGCTAACTGTGAGGAAAAGTCTGTCATTACCAGCAAAGAAAACACATTACACATCAAACAAAAAATTCTCCCTCAGATCTTTTTCTTAAGCAAAAGAATAAACTGAAGAGGGATTCACACAAATCATATTCCTGCTGCTCCTGCTTGTAATACTCTCTAATTGCATGGAGCCCTCCAATGAAATTTATGCTTCCTTTGAAAACACAAGCACATGGAGATTTTTGTTTCTCCTTAATACTGTATTACCAGTTTGCACAGCCAGTGGTCCCCGAGCTGAAAGAATCTAAACCCAATACGTCTTCTGGGATCTTCAGCCACCATCATTTCATAAACCTACTGAAGTACCATGCTTTTTTAATACTTTCCAGGCTGTTTCTGTTGTCATTCTTACATGCCCAACATTTCAGATGTCTGGGAAAATCAAGCACAAGTAGTTAACACTCTACCAAAATAAACTGAAGAAAATCACAATTCCCTTCTTTTTAAATAAAATTACCCATTTCTGAGGCTAAAATCGCAGAAATGAAGCCTCAATCACTTAAGCCAGAAAAGAAGTGAAAGTCAGATGCCACAGGGGATGTAGAGCTCTCCTTCCACTGCCTGGTGATAGGAGGAAACCCATTCCTTTGTGTTACAATGCACCTATAGTGTGACTATATAAATCTCAAGTCCAAACTCAAAAGTATTCATTTCCTGTAAGCAAATATGAATATCCTCACAGAGGTGCTTCACTGACTGTCTTACTTCCTGGTTTAGTAAAGAATTTTTCCTCTCAGGAAGAGGTTGTCAAAATAGCAGCTACCAGGTTTTCTTTCTTTCTTCAGAAAGGAGAACTGACTTCAGGACATCCTATCATAGTTTATCTAACAAAGTTTGAATTCAACCTGGTACAACTTCTTCCAAGCTGGTTGATCAGTTACATGACTATTCTGCTAAAAGATGTGTACAGTGGGATCACGACCAATACCTTAGGTTTACATTTTCTCCATAGTGAACACTGTACAAAACCACATCTTGCATAACTAAGTGTATTTCAAAATTCGCTCAGGAAACGCTGAGATACAAAAACTTCTGCAAGTATCATACCCAGTGTAGGAAAACAAACTCCAAATTTTAACTTCCAAAACCCCATATTAAATATACCTTAAAAAAAAAAAAAAAGCTTTTTGACTTCAGTTAAAATGGTAGAAGAAAATGAAGCTGGTTTGCTATTGCAAAGCTTACAGTGTTGAAGTAAAATGGTGTTTTCATTAATTCTGTAGCAAGATCAATACATTAATTCTCATTTAAAACCTAGTCCTGAACTTGAAATGTTACCCACAGGTAAACATGTAAATTTAATATTGATTCATTTGTCTTATTGCAGTAAGCTACAACTGAACTATTAAGTTCTCAGAGGTGTAGTATCCATGAGGATGTTTGCTTCAAACAGCTGCCTGACAGAAGCCAGGTTATCAAGTAAACAAATATTGATACCAATCTGAAGGAACACAGCAAACTACAATGATACATGGGAAAACTAATTATATCCTGCAGCTGGATATCCAGAATTGGACACCTGCTGGGTGGAACATTACTGACTCACAGAATGGTTTGGGTTGGAAAGGACCTTAAGATCATCCAGTTCCAACCCCCTGCTATGGGCAGGGATGCCTCACACCAGACTATGTTGCCCAAGGCTCTGTTCAACTTGGCCTTGAACACTGCCAGGAATGGAGCACTTACCACTTCTCCGGGCAGCCTGTGCCAGTGGCTCACCACCCTCCTGGTAAAGAACTTCTTCCTTATATCTAACCTCAACTTCCCCTGCTGAAGTTTAAACCCATCAGCTCTTGTCCTACCACTACAGTACACAACTTGTGACAGTGCATTAAATTACCACGTAGATTTTTAGTATGAAATTATGAAATAAAAGCTCCCCGGACAACTTGTAGCCTGTTACATGAAACTGCACAAAGTTATTTCTGTGGTATCCTGGGACTACAGTAATATACATAAATGTATCTGAGTAAGTCATAAAGAAATATAAAGCAAATGTCCATGGATAAAAACCACTACACCTCAACTGAAGTAATCCAGATGATAATTCCCATTAGGTGCAAGTGCCTACCTAGACCTCATGGAAGAAAAGGTAAAAAGACCCTCAAACAATTCTACATTTAAAATGTGTTTTTATCAAATCATTATAGAAGTCAGTAAAAAAGATGTAAACAAATGTCAAACTAAAAGTTTATGACAACTTGAAAGAACTTGGAAATTCTGCACATTCTCATTAATACATCAGTTTTAGTTGAGCAAAATACACATACTCCATGGTCATGGAAAAAAGCAGTAATTCCAAAAAAGGACTCAAAAGTCCAATTATTTTGCTTTCTTTTAGAAACATGATCAACAACTCTTAACCTTTGTAAGAGTTTCCAGAGAAGTGAAATGGCACCATCTAGTGACTGAGAGATGAAACAATCAAGTCAGGAAAGCAGTCACTTTTGCTCCCTCACATCCATTCAAGTTTGGAAACAATAGCAAAAGGAAATGTGAAAATAAACATGAATGCTGGAACACCTCTATGGAACATGGAATTTTAAAGTCAAATAATATTACTCAATGATTATTTTTCTACCAAACTCGGTACCTACAATTGTTAGTTTATTAAAATGTTTTTGGAAATGTTTATGATATAAATTTAATAGTCGCATACTACTGACTCCAGTATCTTCCCAGGAAAGCCAGTGCTTTTAAAGCAATGACCACTTCAGCTTATTAAGGAGTCATCATCAACTGATGATAACACACAGTCATTTATAAATAAAAATCAAGCAACTTTAAATGCATCAAACTCTTCACTGATAAAATCAAGTGAGGCAGCAGCCCCTTCTCTTCAGTTAATAACAACACATCATATTTGCACAGGCACCACGATCCTATGTGTAGACGTTCACTGATTCACATTTCCAGCAGATCACCTCAAAGCTGCCAGCACAGAACATTTCTAAGCTAGTTTTACAGAACTAAACTTTACTCCTCCTGTACAGACTGCCTTTATTTTATAACTCCTTCTAGGAATTCATCCACTAGAAGAACAAAGGCAAAAGCAGAATGTTTGCTGCTTTTTATAGTTTTTCCTCTGGGCTTTTCTTGAAAGAATATATTGAAAAACAACTTTTTCACATTTTCTCAACAAGAAGCATTATGCCTCTAGAGGACGATGCAGGAGGGCTTTTCCTTTAGGAATTGCTACACAAGAGTGAAGGAGGTTGCACAGTGGAAATTCTGTAATCTTCAGACATCTTTCACCCTTGTGCCCCCTTTTGTTCCTTCTTTCTGTACATAACACAAAGAACAGCTTCTTGCTTTGCTAGAAAGATTAAGTCTCTAGTGACTCAAAAAGCCCCACCAAAATGCACACTCTCAAGTTTCAGGGTGTCCCACCCTAAAATGGGGGACAGGTGGGAATTACAGCATCAGAGAATTACTGTTTTTCACACACTGAGAGACTGAAAATACGTTGTGAAGAACATCACAGTAATCTCTAACTCTGCTGCCTTCTTGCTTATCTACAGCTCTATGTCAGGGCAAAGAATACAATCTCCTCCTAATAAAATAAATAAGATTAACTGTTTATTACAACAGGGTCAAAAGCCATTAAGACAAGCAACAGACAGGAAAGCTGGCATTGCTCCATACTGCTGCAGTCTTCACCAAGAACAATTAAAAAGTACTCTTCAGGGAGATCACAGAACAATAAGCTACTACAGGTATGGACCGTATTTCAAGAATAAAAGGATGCCAGAGGGGGACTCTTCACCATAGACTGTAGCAATAGGACAAGGGGTGATGGGCTCAAACTTAAACAAGGGAAGTTGAGATTAGAGATAATGAAGAAGTTCTTTACTATGAGGGTGGTGAGGCACTAGCACAGGTTGGCCAGAGAAGTGGTAAATGCTCCATCTCTGGCAGTGTTCAAGGCCAGGTTGGACAGAGCCCTGGGCAACATGGTCTACTGTGAGGCATCCCTGCCCATGGTAGAGAGCTGGAACTGGATGATCTTAAGGTCCTTTCCAAGCCAAACCACTCCTGGATTCTATGGTAAAAAACTTTCTGGTTAGACCAAGAACTGGGTCAAACAACATAATCTTATACACTAACTTCAATGTATGCAGCTGGCCCAGATCACATTATTTTTCTATTTCTAAGAACCACTCCATCACACATATGCCTATTTTAGCTTTAGCAGAGCACAGAAACATGTATTTTAACAGACTACCCTTCCTCTTTCAAATCTGACTTCAAGCTGAAATTTCTGCCTGCAAGAATAGTTTTCAGCTGACACACAGTAAAAATGGGTCTCTTGTAATGAGACATTTAAGAACACCTGCAGAGGCCACTTCAATGAAAACATGTATGATTCTCAAAATAAGGTTTAAAAAAGAAATCACATTTGCAAATATGTGGGGGTATTACTTGCAAAAGTTAACTGTCACTTGGTTTAGCCATCATGGAGACAAACACAGTAGAAGTCCACAGACTCACATTTGAAATCATCATTTTTCCAGCCTATCTCAGCTACAGATACAGTCATGGGAGTAAACCAGCAAATAATTCTGTCCATAAAAGGGAGTAAAATAAGGAAAACACATGTTACAGTATCTTCTGATTCTAAAATTTTATATGAAAACCCTGAAGGAAAAGGCATGCAAATAATTCAAAGAGAATATATGAAAAAAATATGCCTTTTTAGGACTAGCTGTTACTGTATTTTGTCTTTAAGCTGGTTGCACTAAACTTTTGATACTGTTACTGTATTTTGTCTTTAAGCTGGTTGCACTAAACTTCTGATAAGCTACTGTTCACCCACTGAATTAGTTGCATAATTAAAAAGAGGTACACTGAGCTGCTCCCTAAAAGGAAAAAAGTGTAATTTCTATTACTCAAAGTCTTATATGGGACTTCACTACCATTTAAATGTTAGGACCCTGCACATCTCAAAAGTAGCAGAAAACTTCCTGCTTGCACTCTAACCCTCACTTTTGATGTAGGTGAACCTCCGCAGGCAGGACTGAGCTCACTTGTTGGAAACCACTGATTCAGTGCTTAAGGCACTCTGACTGGCTTCATACTTCTTTGCATGCTATAGACACAATCATGTCTCCACACAATATATGCACACATATACAGGCACACGTATCTGCCAGGCACCAAAAGTCCAATGAAATCAGGTACTGAATTCACCTTATGGAGAAGCACATGCTAATCAAAATCGGTGTTCCTCACCTTTTACTCAAAGAAAGAAAATTTTGGAAAGATTTATGGAACACACATCAAACGTTTTCACTTGTTGTTTGGAAACTGAATAGAAAAATTAAAATAGTATTTTTTTCTTTTACTTAACATCAGCAATCTGTCTTTTGAATGATAACTGGAAAAAAACAACCTCAATAACATTTTGCACTTATTACCTGAATTATAAGAAGCTTTCCATAAAAGACATTTACTGTTTGGGCTATTAAAGATTACATTTCAGTCATAAAATGGTAATTACGGGCTAAGGTAAGTATCACAGAATGCTATGCATGCAGTTCCAGGTCAGTGAAACAAGCTGTTGCTTTTGCATTCAACCACAGTCACTCCTCTGGCATTTTATATAGCAGTCACAAGACTTTGATATCATGATATCAAAGGCTACCATACAACACTGCAACCCACTTCCCAGAAAACTTACCTGACTCCATTAATTTTGTGTTCTCATCTGGGTGGAATTTAAATAAAGGGAAAAAAAAAACACCTTAGAAGGTGAAATTAAATATTTCATGCTATGTCCCTAAGCAAGACACAGTTTGGAAAGTTTATTATTGTTTAATCACTTTGATCTTTACATAAAGAGCTGCAGTGTCACAAGCTGAAGAAAACTCGCAGGCAGCAATAACGTAACTTGTGAAAAATCCCGAATCTCTGGTTGAAAGGGAGCTTGCTCTAACTAATACTGTTAATGAAGAGCAGTGATAAATGAAATATAATCTTTGTTTTAAATGCACTTTCTTTCCAAGAGGTGGCCCTTCCTAAGGAAGCAAGTTCAAGGGTTAATGAAGAGGGTTAACCACATTAGCTGTGTTTGATCTCCAATTTGCATCAAAGACTCTAATTTCAAAATTAACATTCCCAAGTTTTATTATTTGTTTAAAGGCCGCAATCATTTTACTTTCTATTATTAAACCTAACTTTTAAGAAAGTATGTTACCGCTAGAGAACTACTGATACCGAATACTGCCAGCTCTTTGTCCAGCATGATGCCATCCTCAGGGAACCTCCAGTGAACGGGAATTACCACATGACTTTCTGGTAAAGTCTGCCACAGGTACATCGGAATGGTCCCTGGAGCGGAACAGAAAACACCACTCCAAAGATGAGCGCGTTTTTCCATACTGATGCTTAATGGCTACCACCAATCTGCACAGCAGCAAAGCACACAGGGGAACAAAGCAGCAGGGAGACCGGCCACATGAAAGCTCTTGGATCAAAGCCAGTGGGGAAGCAAATGAATTGGTTAGAGCTGCAGCGTAACCACCACAGAAGAAACAGGTTCTGAAGGAGTGCATTGCGCATGTCAAGAAACTCTTTTTTAATGTTGAGAAAAACTAAACCAGAAATTCCATCTCTGAAGAGGCCGGGGTGGTTTAAAAGTTAAATAACTCCACCCATTTATGCAAATCTCAACTGCTGAAGAACTTAACTACACTGCGTGAGAAAATACAAAAAAGTAGGACCAGCTTCTAAGGCCACTTCTGACGAAGTCTGTTCCCTAACGCAGGTCCCCCTCCTGGGAATACCCGCTAAGCGCCAAAACTTAAACAACAGTAGCTTGAAACTAATTACAGACTGTGTGAAGCGGGCGCCGCCCGGGCCTGCGAGGCCACGGCCAGACCAAGCGAGGGCCGCTTTCTGTGGCCCCTGTGCCCGGCCCCCATGCCCGGGCCCATCCCCGGCAGAGCTCGCTGGAAGCCCCGGCGGATCCCCGCGGATCGTGCGGTACCGCGAGTGCGCGGCCGCACACTGAGCGGCAGAGAGCAAAGGGACCGCGGGTGAGCGGCCGCCGCCATCTCGGGAAAGCGCAGGGAGGACCCGGCTAGGCGAGGCGAGGCCGCGGCCTGGCGCCGGCTGCCCGCGGGGCTGCAGCGGCCCGGGCTGAGGGGGAGCGTAACTCGGAGCCGCTGGGGTCTCCCCACCCCTCACTGCTGCTGCGGGCTCGCCCCTCCACCGCCTGCGCCCGCCGAGGAAGGAAGGCAGAGCGGCGGGCCGAGGCACCGCGCCCGGGAAGGCGGGCCCTGTCATGGCGAGGCGCCCGCCCCGCCCCGGGCCTTCGCTGCGCTGAGGCGAGGGACAGGCTCGGTCCTGCCCGGTCCCGGGAGGGTGCCCGGCGCCTCTGCCCCTGTCCCCGCCGCCCGGGAGGTCTCCCCGCACCCGGCACCCACCTGCCACCGCGGCGGGCTCCGGGTCGTGAGGGGAAGGGAGCCACCGCCCCGCCGGACGGCGCCGGTCCCCTGAGGCAGCGCGCGGCCGGGAGCGTGGTCTCGCGCACCTGCACGCGAGGGGCGATGGCGGCGCCGCCGCAGCCCGGAACAGGCCCTGAGCGGTGCCCGTCCGGCGACGTGCGCCGCAGAGCGATGTGCTCGGCCTACGCTTAGCGGTGGTGCGCTGCACAGCTGCGGGTGCCTGGGCCCTGTGCTTTGTTCACAGCATGAACGTGGTACAAAACCATTGCGTTCCCGGTGGGGAAGTTCAGAAGCGCTGTTCGGCACCATCAGACATCCATCTCATGGACAGAACTTCTTCAGGCTTCCATTCTTCACCTGGAACGCAGACCAGAGCGAGCTAGTGCCATGGTGCCTGCAGAAAACAGAAACCCAGTAAAGTAACACTAAAGATTTGCAAACAGCTTTTGACAAAAGTTTAACAATCAAGTGCTTAAAAAAGCAGTGCTGACATCAGAATTTGCGCTTCACTGAGCTGATTTACCATTACTGCACTTGTCCTTAGGGATGGGCACATTGGCAGTGATCCAACACAACATGCAAATAGATGGAGTCTACTGCTGCAAGTGTCACAAACTGTGAGTGTGTGTTCTGGAGCCTTCCCTTTCCTGTCCCAAGTACGTCCACACTAGCATCGTCTCCTTATGCTGCTCTGCAAAGGTAGTGGCATAAAAGGAAAAGTCACAACTGCAGTAAGGCATCTCAGTCACCTATGCAAGGAAGGTACTGGAGACTATTGAGGTGAAATTCTCAACACTTACTGAATGCTTATAGAATCCTTCAATCAGTACAATGTATTCAGTAGCACCGTTCAAGCTACACATGCTTTCCACAATTCATTAAATGTTAATTCCTCAGATGAGGAAAACGCTTGTGTCCTGCTCAGACCTTCACAAAGAGTACTGAGTATGTACTGAATTTATGTAACAGTTTTCACACCGCAAGCTTACTGCTCATGTGCTCTGCTGAAGACAGTAAGAAATATTTGTTGCAACTACAAACCATTCTAGAGCACTAAAAATCCTCTTCAGTATGCTTTGCATTCCATTCCCTGCCCTTTCTTTAAACCTCTAGCCAGCAAGAACGACATTACATGACATTACGTGACACAAAAGCTTCATTTGTCTATCTCTTGAAGATTAGAATATTTCTAAAGAAAAAACACTTTGAAGTCCTAAATTATATCAATTACTTTGGTCAACCAAGTTGGAAAAAGGATGATTTAAGAAAAATGCAATTTAACAGGTTATAAAAGCTAGATACATTCTACATGGGTACCAACAACTCGCTTCTGGTCTACAAGTGTGCAATCTTATAGCAATTGTTAGTCTACAAGCAGAAACAGAGCCAGGAACTGTTAAAAAAGTAGCATAAGGATGCCTGCTATTTCCTTTTAACAAATGGAGAATGCAAATGTATTTAAAATGTTATTGGGATGTAGATACATGCCACTAACTTCTGTGGGAACTGAAGGACTTGCAGAAGTGATTTTAGAACCATTGTGCACCTACAATCAGTTAAGATCAAGGGGATCTGCAAGATAATGTTTAAACAGCTGGTCCTGAAGCAGCAAACTTGTCTGCCAGAAGCAGTCTGAAACAAAACAAAACAACAAAACCCAAACGCACACATCAAGTTGGGTTACATGAGAAGAATGTGACTCTAGCTTTTTGTTAGTTAAGGTAAAGACACAATATATCCTTTCAGCGAAATACAGCTGAAAGTTTTATTACATGAACAGGTAAAAAGCACAGACTTTAGAAAGTACTTGTCATCCATGCATTTCCTATTCATTCCTTAAGGTGCCCACTTGGGTGCCTCAATTATTAATCTGCTTTTGTCTTGGGGAGACAGAACCATTCTTTCCTTAGATTCATTAACTTTCATATCAGTTGTGAGTTACTGCCAAAGCACATGAATTGGAAAATGAAGCACTATTGCTGATTAAATAGCCAACAAATATTTCTGTTCAATCCAGCAATATTCAGTGATGAAGCTGGATAATCAATATTTGCTGTATTAATTCACGGTATTTGTGCCTCGGGTTATTGAGGTCCTTTCACATAATGCTGATTTAAAACAACAACGAAAAAGAAAATGTCAACAGCTTAAGTGAGTTGTGTCTTCTATTACCTTTACTGGCATTACTCAGAAGTTATTTTGGAAAGGTATTTCATGACACTTGATGTCTGGAGAAATGGTTCCTTATGAAGCTGAAGGTCACTGAAATAATGCTTAGCTTTAAGCAATCACTGCAGGAAGAGAGGGTATTTCAGGAGCAACCTAAACAACAGTCAAGTTTAGGAACAACCAAAGCCTTACAAAAACCTTTGTGGTTTTCCACTGAAGCTAAGCAAACCTTTACACACGCAACTCAGGTGGACACCTTTCCACAACAGATGTATGGAACACAGATGGGAAATGCCAACAGTATAAAAACTACGTGGAATATTTCATGCAAAATACTCCAAATACTTTTCATTATGTAACTTTTATTTGAGACACACATTGTTGTAAAAAAGTTCACATAGAATAATAAAACCACTGGAGTGTGAAGGTTTGGGGTTTTCTTAGGGGTTGGGTTTGGTTTTTTGTCTATACACATCAATACACAATTACTGATCAGGTTTACAAGTTAACCACATGACAAGTTCACTTTTATCCGCAGGAGCTTTTCACATTACACCTTTATATCAGAGATAAAATGTGTTTGAACATACAGAGTAGAACACTTCTATTTCAAAATTAAGCATTTTGTCAAGGACTATAGTTTTTATTCTGAATTTAGTAGCTATATAGCATTAAAATAACTGTAATTGAAGTTTTATTTGCAAAAACGTCCGTAAGGCCATAGGAATGCACTAAAACAGTTAAATTCACCAGAAACAAGAAAAATCAAATCAATGGAAAACCTGCTTTTATGGAAGAAAGAAATACAAGTTTTATTTGTAAGAATGAAAATGACATAAGCAGTTCAGTGAATGGAGGAGAAAAAAGACCTATTATCACCTACAGACCAATCCTTAAGGTTAACATTGCAAAATTTCAGTTACATTAACAGGTAACCAAATAACAGATGCATTTTCACAAATAACACATTTATGCATTTTACACATTATTCATGTACTTTCAAATCATTATCCATTCACAATATTTTAACGTGATATGTATACTGAAGACTCCTTTATTCACTTGTGAGAATGATCAACTTAATTCACTTGACTTCAGCAGACTAGTACGGGAAAGGTACTTACGATAAGAAATAATTTCTGTAAAAAGAACTACAGGTCTGAAAAGTCAATGAGCATTTTAAGACTGTCCCCCCAGTAGAAAAGTGAGTGCGTTAAGTTTCGCGAGTGGTTTAAGCTTTAGCAATAATAGAACTTCCAGGCAGTAAGTAAATCGGGTATTCTGTACACGCTCAACAAAACCTCCTTGTGCACATTTTGCTGAGCGTAGACTGAAAGCTAGAACTGCAGAGCACTGAGAGCAGTTTGGAGTTGGTTTGGTGATTTTTCTCTTTTTTTTTTTTTTTTTTCCCTTAAACCATTTAGAAAAACACTGGTCAAGGTAATAGTGCACAGACATGGGGCGGAGGAAAGAGTGCCTACAACTCCATAGCACAAGCAGCAGTTTTGTTTTAGCGAAATCCACCACAAAACGTCTGCCTTTCCTGAAAGGTTAATGGCAGTTTCTGGAACAAAACAAACACATTTACTGCTTAATGAATAATCATTATATGACTTTCATTCTAATGGCCATTAGAATACTAACTACTTGAGTGCTACTGCTGAACCCAGGACACTGAGGTATAGTTAAGAGTCCTTCAAAGTTGAGATTATATAGTCTTGAGCGAAGTAGCAACAGAGGCTGCACAAAACAATCATAGTGATATTAGAAAAGCCCGTAGTACCCAGCATCTGATGCGTAGGCAGAACATACCATTTATCATCACCCGCCTGTCTAAAGGAAAATACAGCTAAAAAAACTCCCAGTAAAACATACAGCTGATCTGCACGCTAGGATACAGCACGTTTCTCAATGTCTGACAAGTCAGACTGTACACAGAAAGGTCTACTGACCAAAAGTTAGCACACGGATAAAGTGCAGCCACTCAGCCATTTAATACTGCTGGAGAAAAGGGGTGAGGGCAAAACAGCAAAAAAAGAGAGAGAAATCTGCATTTTACCTTATCCATAAGACCACATGAAATTAGAATTCTTCAGTTTCAGCAGGGGACAACAAAATTGCATTAAATTCTTCTACAAATAGAAAAAGATGAACTTTACATGAACATTAAGCAACGTGAAATATTTACTGCATTATTTTATCATGCATAAAGTGAGTTTCCTATGGTCTTACCTCACATTTATGTACAGTTTAGCACAGCTAAATGTAAGAAAATAGCAAGGTTTTTTTCTCCCCACTCCCACCCCCCCACCCCCCCCCCAACAAAGCAGATACCCCAATTCGCTGCTGCTTCAAGAAGCATTTCATAGACTCTACTACTTACAGGCTCTTTCAAAGGGAAGTTCATGGAGACTAATATTGAATGAACATTTTAACCACACAGCGAAGACAGGAAAAACAATACAAAGCATTCTGTAAACGGTGCCAAACACAGAACATGTCAGTTTTGGTTTGCAGACAACCCCTGAGATAAAAATCAAAGTATTACGACACCAAATAAGTCAGAGGTAAATTACTGAAAATAAACAACATTCATAATTGGTGTCACAACACTTTCTGTATAGAAGCACTTTTTTAACCATACAGAAAACATAACTGCTTTAGCCCGTCCAAGAAAAACATCAAGGGTAGACAACACAGCAGTTAGGGTTGCTTTGTTTTTTCACTGAACCTTGTTGCCATGAATATCTTTCTGGTTTAGTGCAGCAACAGCAGTTTATGAGATTCACCACCTAGTTACAATAACTATTTCTATTAAACCACACGCGGGGACAGGTCGATAACCACTTAAAACTTTATGGAACCAGCTACTAATAGTAAACCTTTTAAAATCAAAAGTCTTTAAGTCTTAACGCTATTGGCCATTTCACTTTCAAGATATTTACAACAGACCCAGAGATGACAAGTTCAGTACCTGACACCACAAAAGGAAGCAGTTATCTGTGCTAACAACCAGCTCACTGTTTACAACCCCAGACCATGTAAGTGAAGCAAAAGCAAGCACATCAGACATGAACTTAGACAACGACAGAATGCACCTATCCCCTAGTAACAAACATGCTGGACACAAACTTGTAGTTAAAGCTTACAATGGTCCAAGTTTGGCACATCAACAGAACTAAAGCACCTGTTTTAATTGCTCATTGAGGAATTTTTTTCAGAAGACAATAAAAAAGTAGTAGAACAAAGACTAGGTTATACAATGCTCAGTTGAGTAAAAAAAGGCAACTATGTTTGAACTCTGCCTCTAACAGTCTAGGTCACTGTACCAGTTTTTGATGAGAAAAATAACTGCTTGAGCAGACCAAGGAGGGCTTCACACATTCACCATTAACTGCACAACTAAGAGTACATTACAGCCCTAATGTGACCATTTCCTTAGTGCCACAACTTGATATACTCTAGTAACTGCACAGGAAGCTAGTTTTTGGACACCGCATCAAGGGTTGATGCTCACACACATTAACGAACTATGCTTAGAATTACAGTAGAAATGGAAGTCACCTTTAGAAGCAGTCATTTCTGAACAAATGAATCCACAGAGGTTACTCAAAACTCATGCATTCAGCTTCCACAAGCCACTTAAGTGATAGTGATGAGGCTAATTAGTGACCATGATTTCAGCTCCAGAGTGCACTTCCTCATCAAAAACAAAAAAGGTGCAGATGGTTTGAGCTAACAAAGGGAAGCTAAGTGAGGAAAGACACTGTGTTTATTCAAATAACTGAAAGGTGCATCTGTGAATCAAACAGTGACTGGCAATTCAGAACACAACTTTGCTAAGTCTGGTAAAGAAAGAAAAGCAACATACTACATTCAAAATAGAATGTCATCGCTTCTGCATGAACAGATTTGTGCATCTAAGACAAAATGCATACAAACTGTTAAATGCCAATTGTTCTGGTAATTCTAATTACTAGAGTGTTGACATCCATACTGCAGTCATGGCCACAGGTATACAGCATAGGAAATAATGGAAGTGAGATAATTTTACCCCTGGCTCTACTGCTTGAAAATAAATTTGTTTAAAAAGAGAAAAACCTGCACAAATCTGTTAAGAATCTTACAAGTCAAACTGTGCAAATACAAATGTAAGATTGTGCTGTAACAGGCAGTAAGAGGCCAATATGGATGTGCAAAGTTAAAAGAAACATAGCAGCTTTTGCAACAGGCAATAAAACAGAAAGTAAAAAAGAAAACAGGTTAACTCTTGCATTTGTGTCTCCACTTCATAGCTTCCATATCTGAGAAAGAAGAGCCTGACAGGTCAATAGGCTTAGTGAGCAAAATCCACTTGGTATTTTGTGTATCGCAGTCTACGTTCAATGGAGCTCTCAGCAGCAGCTTGGTGGTATTATTTCTGAGGCTTTGTGACCCTGTGCTTTCAAAGAAGCAGAAAAGGTTCTAAGTGTGCTGCAGTCTATCATTAGAAGTTCATCAAAGTAGCGTGCATCGAAAGAAGCTGCTCTTCTTAGATCGATTTTCTGTTATTTTTACTGGCCCACCTGCCCCTGATGAACTGTTGTCATTCTGAAAGACACAAGAGCATCAACATCAGGATATGCAGAAAAAAGTAAGTCTGGCTTTCCTAGTCTCCCTCCCCACTTTCCCTTCTTTCAAAGCAACAACCAAAGCAGAGGCTTGTTGCAACCCACAATTATCCACTCTTAATCACTCAGTAAAACTGCCTTCTTTAAAAAGAAACATTTAACAATCCAGATCTCAAGGATTAGCTGAAGGAGTGACTACATGATTTGATGTTTAATAAAGCAAGGATCACACTGGCAACATTTGAAAAGAACACATCAGTTCCAGCCTGCCCAGTGTTAATGTCAATGCAAAATAAAGAGGTTACACACTGATGTGTAACAAAGTGTGATAAAGCACTGCTTGCTCAATTTTGATCTATCATCCCCACTGTAATCCCCAGGAGTATCGTGGTAGGGCTACTATTCAGCCAATGATTATAGCAGTCACTGCAACCTAAGTAGTTTGCATGGCAATTTGAAATACAAACCATTTTTCTGTTGAGCTTTGTCATAATGTCCCGTGCAAGTGTGAAAAATGCCTGGTGGGGAGCAGAAATGAAAAACAAAATGAAAAAAAGAGTTACTCACAGGACATGAAAGACAAGATAGATCCGAAATAGCCAGACACATTAACAATACAGTATGCTGTAGGCCACCGGTAGCACTTGGAGTTGCAAGGCACTCGCTCTGTGTACTAACAGGTGTTTACTTAAATTGCAGTCCGCACGCTTTAGAAGGAAAAAACTATTTCTTTTTAGTCTCCATTCCTCAAATCTTTGCAGCAGGTGAACAGACTTGCCCGTTGTGTATCTCTTGGGCATTAAAAAAACATGATCTGCTGAAGACAAGGCTACATACACTATGTACGTATAAAGTTAGTTACACTTCCAATATCCGTATCAGAACAAACCAAAACAACCAAAACCCCACAAACAAAAAATAAAACCACACTCTGGCAAAACTCAGCATCTCAGACCTCAATGTACAAAGGAGCAAAGAAACTTCTGTAGCAAAAAAATTCTGACATTCTCCAGTTCTCCAGAAGCAACCTAAAATCTTGATTTTCCCTATCTGGAGTTACCAACAATCCAAGGACAGTTCCAGAACGTAAAAAACTAAGTATTTCCCCTTTCACTGTGTTCAGAATATATCCAAAGACAGAGACTGATTTAATGCAAATAAATCACAAAAAGTAATAGAAATTAATTCCCTTCTGATCACAAGATTATCACAGTGTGTCATTTCCCACACGTTAAGTATTTGGTGGAATGACGACTAAATCATTACTTGCTCAATGCCTGCATCAGCTGCATTTTTTAAATGCTTTCTTCATTATTCATGTGACAAATAGCCATGTTGTTCAGCGTAAGCACAAAGTAATGCTTAATTTAGTGACCTACAGGAGTTAAAATGAAATTGCAAGACATGTCACGAAAAAGCAAGTCAATCATCTGAAGGAACTAATGAAGATGACTGTTGGTACTTTTTATTAGGAGACTATTGCTATGCACAGTGGTATTAGCTGTTAAGTTCACACTTCTATTGTCTGTTGTAAGAATCACAATGACACTGTGAAAATCAGGTCAAGCACTTTTCCAGATGCAAATAGGTTAAAACTAAATATATTGTATAACAATCATCCTGCAATTAGAAAAAATGCTTGAGTGGCATGGCACCGCTCATGTTATTTTAAAGTATCAATCTCTTTAGTTTCCAGTTAATTTGTTAGCTGCATGATCTGTACTAAGTACGTTTGGAGGACCTCTAAAAGATATCCAGTCAATGCACATGGAAAAGCTTTCAGACTGTTAGATACAGGAACAACTTTTAAGAATAAGTCTACCCCTTTTCTGAATGAATGAATCCTGATATAGCTGATTTTTGATATCACATTATATTCTTGTTCACGCTTTTCATGGAGTAAGATCCTCCCCCCACCCACCCCGACATGACAAGAGTGATTCATGGTAAGACAGACTGGAGCTGAGCCACTCTTTCATCCAATTTATTTCCTTATGCGCTCATAAATAGGGGTCTTAGGCTTTTAGAATAAAATTCACTTGCAGGAAAACAAGTTTCAAGTCTAGAGACTTCCTCTTCTAACATCAGCTTATGACAGTCTATGCTGATGTTCCAGGTTAACTTCAGTCTCATCTGCACAGCACACATCTAGTAGTAACTTGAAGGCTCCTTGACACAACAGCAAGTTATTCTCAAATCTTGAATCCGATTTCCTTCACAAAGCATTGTTCTAAAATTACACCCATTACATCCATTCCCAGCCTCGAAATTTCCTACTTGAAATTTAGCAGCAAGGCACAGAAGTCTAAAGGGACTGTTTCCTACCATGATAATAAACCACTGTTAACGCCCACTTAACAACCAATTCCAGACATTACCAGAAAACAAGAAATGCTGGATTTTACAGCAACTCTAAATATAACAAGACTGCTGACCCTGGAGCACAGTAGGAACTTTAGGTCCCAGATCAGGTCAGAAAGCCCAATAGATCATGAAACATGTCTCCATAGCAGTAGTTCAACAAACACACCCAAGTGTAACACCCATCTCTTACCTCTTCCACATTTATGCTGGATTTCGCACTCGTCTCCAAAAATTTGATTCCATAATCAATTGCTAACTGGAAGAGAGGTTAAAATTTTTCAGTGTTATTGAAGTTCCTTTGTAAAACCAGTGTTTCATATGAGTTCATAATACAATAGATGCTGTATACAGCAGCAAGCTTAAAAAACGAAACCAAACAAGCTCCATTTCTGCTTTTCTCTTGCAAAAAGATTACAGTTACTGGACAATTAGACAGAAATATTAGAACAGACCATACCCTCATGTAAATTCAAAACAACAAAGAGATGAACTGCTCACAAAAAGACTTATTTAGCACCTAAAAAACCCCATCAAGATAAAATCTTCATTAATGTGGATTTATGGACCAGATAACTACATACAATCATCCCATAAGCAGTATTACTAGCAACTACACTGCTTTAGCTGTGTACATAATAGATTATATAGTATTCTTACTTGTTCATTTGTTCTGAAGAACTGCTGATTACTTAAATTTTAATAGCAGGAGTAAGTAATTACCATGGTGAATTGATTAGACTATATACAAAGCTTCAGACTGAGATTTAGAATACTTCATGCTATAGCAAAGGTCAACATCCTTCACAGGATCTTCCTCTCAAGACAACAGTATCATTAAGTTTATTCAGACTTTAAGACTGTCAAGTGCTGTTTAAAAACAAACCCTCCCAAACCTGGCATCCCATAATATATAGAAGTTTCTGGAACGAGAGGTTTGAGGCCCATTATCTCTCATATGCCTAAAACATCCCAAAATATCCAGCAGCCAATGTCCCAAGAAAAGGAGGCTTCTAGATCAGGTAAGTCACCAAAAGCTCACCTTCTCCCCTTTTTCCTTGGACACTTGTCTTTTTTCATTCATATCACATTTGTTACCCAGGATCATTCTTTCTACATCTGAAGAGGCATGCTGAAAGAAGAAACCATAATCTCTCAGAAACAAAGTACATCACTGCTTAAAAGAAACCAACGTGCCATGCTCATGCACCAGTGACTATTTTATTTTTCAGAAGTTATCTAATGTGAAGGCATTGCTGAGGAAGAGACTGACTTCTCAACCAGCCAAATTAATACTTACATGATAAAACTGGTTGGAATAAATCCTCCTAGATTAAATTTGCCTGAGTATTAAAACAGACCAAATACAGTGCCACAAGCTCTGTACCAGGCTGCACACATGCACAGGCATTTGGCTGTTCTGGAAATACAACAGCACTCACTTCAAAGCAGTGCACGGACATCTGAGCTATTTGGTTGCAGAATAATTATGCAATACAATTGCACTTTTTAAACAGATTGTTAATACAATACTTTAATAATCACTTCAGCAAGAGAACTTTTCCAGCCCTATCAATATAGTATCAAACTATAATTTGATATACAGGAATTCGGCTTAAGAGCCGAGTAATAATACTTAAGAAAAGTCCATGGGTTTTATGTTTAAGGAAAAAAACCTAAACCAGCAAGATTATGTTGCCTAACTATAGCTTCACTAAAATTAAGGTTTCTCCTCTCACTTCATAATGTCCTCTTCCTACTGGACAGCATGTCCCTCTAAATGATTTATAGTAAGTTAGTAGGAAGGAAGTTTAACCAAGACCAAATGAAAAGGTCAAAAATCTCTAATCAGACAAACACACAGCACAGTAACAACCAAAATTAGACAGATCTGTCATCACCTCAGCAAAAGGCAGACACCCCAAGATCTTGCTTCTTCCCATTCCTCAGACACACCCATAAGTAAAAAAGACCAATGAGAGCCACATAGTAAAAGCAGCTTTGAAACACTTTACGGTTACTTTTTGAACTTAAGTTTTCTACCTTCTACCTCTAGCTGAATAAGAAAATCCTCTCCCCATTAATAACCACTGTTGCATTCACTGTACAATCTAACTTGACCATATGTTTTAGCTACTATAACAAAAGTGAATAATTACTTGGTTATTATTGGTCCCAGGAAAATCCTAAGATGAAAGAGTTAAGAAATACTTCCCAAAGCACCTACCTCCTCTATGTTTCTTATCCAGTTTTTTATGTTGTCAAAAGACTTTTCATTTGTGATGTCATACACCAGCATAATTCCCTAAACAACGTTAAGAAAATCCAGTTAGATGAGCTAGCACTATTGGGTGGCTTTTGATGTATGCTGTTGGTTTGATTATACTTGCAAGAAGTTCAACAGAACTTACAGACCTACAATCTTTTCTCAAAACGTTATGGCACTGCTGAGAATTTACCCAAAATATTACCCTTTGTCACCTTTCGCCACCGTCAGAGGTAAAACACACCACCTATGTGAACTTCTAAATTATTAGCCTAGAGTCAGGAAAAGCGTACAAATTCTACAACAGTAACCACGACTCTATGGTTAGTCAAGTTTAGAAGCAGCAGCTTTAAGCAGTTGAAGATGGCAAACCTGTGTGATCCAGTCTGCTGGGGCCAGTAGATCCTTACAGCAGAGCTGGCACTAGGTACTCTCCCAGAAGCTTTAGCCCTTTCAGACAGTTATGTACATGTACTAGAGTGGGCTCTCAACAATGAGCAAAGCATGGGAAAACACACAACAGCTGCATTAAGGTCAGATTGCCAGGTTCATTTCCATTCCTTATTGTCTTTCCGACCATTCCTCATAGGACAAAGAAAAGTCCTTGCATGGACTGGGAGGTGGGGAGAAGACCATGTCACTGCCATAACCTTTTTAAGTACTAGAAAGCTCTAACACAGAGCCACAACCATTACTGTTTCTCCCCATCTGTATTCCCTAACAGTGGCATTATCTGGACCCAAAGCCAGCCCATGAATGGAATGGATCTGTTCATACAAAGTGATGAAAATATGTAGCAGCAGCAGCTAGTAATCAGCAAGTTGAAATTAACAGTGTTCCAACACAAAGTATCTCAAATCATAGCATTAATTAAAAGAACCATTACGAGCAGTTGCAACACAAAGAGTGCAGGCTCCAAGTCAGTTATTTGACCCCAAGTCATTCTCAATGGCGGACAAAGTAACAGTAGCTTTTGTACGTGATTACGTTTCTAGCCCAGATGTTGTATTCTCTACTGGTTGAAGGAAATCAATTCAGTGAAATGCACTTTGAATATTAAAATAATCCATTAGCTATTTTTCAAACATTTCAAATGTTGGAAGGGGTTGACTGCAGTAAACAAGCCGTGTCCCATTAGAGCTTGGGAACTTCACCTTTTATTATAATCTGCAGAAGTTTTAATTATGTTTCAAGAGACAGTAGGACTTCAAGTTTCATCACGAGAACAGGACTAGACAAAGTACCAACAGGTTTAAAAAATGAAAACCAAAAGGAAGCACAAAACAAAAAACTTCAACCAAACCACAAACTTAATTCCTTGCATCTCAAGCCACAATTATCCTATCCTCCAGTTGAAGACTTACATGATAAAACCTTCAGAACAGCAAACCAGTTACACTAGTTGTGCCTAATTGTTTTGAATTGAGAAGACTCACCATGGCTCCTCTGTAGTAAGCTGTTGTGATTGTGCGGAACCTCTCCTGGCCTGCTGTATCCCTAAAATGCAGTGAAAACAAGCATTTGTTTGAGGAGATCTTTACACTCTTCTGTACCTAACAATACAAGATACTCACTGAGAAAAAAATACCATTAAGAAGCTGTTTGCAGTTTTTTTCAGCCCTCAACATCTTTCTCATTCCCAAGCTATCCTACATACATCCGTGGTTATAGCAGCACCATAAATATGGCACAAAAGCATTTAAATATGCATGCAAGCATCAGAACTCAGCACTACACAGCCTCCCCTAGAATAATTCAAAAAGGCAGCTCTGATGCACCCAAGTCCTGCATTAAACAAAAATTAAAACATGCAGCAGTACAATACTTTAGGATAGTGCATTTTCACATACAGTTAGCTATGAAAATCAGCCACTATACCTTAGTGTGCTGACATTTTATCCTAGATGACTTCAAAGCAGTGTCTGTGAGTGAACAAGAGGACCAGAGTGTTTGGCTACTAGTCACACCTAGGGGGAGCTGAACCCCAAAGGCCTGACAGAAAACAGCTTTTTGACTTGTATTACAGATGGCAAACTTGCACCAGCCACTTCTGGCACTTCCTTAGTCACAAGAATGCTGGCATGCATGCAAATCTTACATGTTTGTTAGAACCTGAAAAATCAGGAGAAGCCCTACATTCACCAATAGCATTTTAAAGAGTTTGGCACAGGTAATAATGCTACTCCCGAAATACTCTGCTGCTATCAGGAGGCTCAGTGTCTACTAACACACCATGCAAGGAATAGGAGCATTATCACTACTCTGTGCCTCTAAGTACAATTAGCTATCAAAGTAGCAGAGAAGATTATGTTTTGTTAGGTTGCGTGTTTTAGTTTACACATACTGTGTTAATGCTTCCTTTCCACAGGGAATAGCTAAGACAACGTTTAAGAGGACAGGTTTCGACAAAATGGGAAGTGGCTGTAACGTTCGCATGTGAACAGGCTATTTCCTGTGCTACTGAAGCAGAACCACTCCAAGATCAAGCTAGAAGAAAGCATAAACCTCATGGACAATCAGTGAATAAAAGGTATAAAACTTTAGTGCAGCAGGCTCAAAAGCTATGAAGTATTTATTCCTGATCAAGGATTAACTCGGTGCTCACCAAAATCTTAAAATTACTTGGCAATACTTACCATATCTGTAGCTTGATTTTCTTTCCATCTAATTCTATAGTTCTGATCTTAAAGTCGATTCCTGCCAGAGAAAGCAATAGTCTGAGTTTTGCAATAAATGAAAAGGAAGTGTTCAGTTTTGTTTTGACAATTTGGTATGAGCAAACTTGGGCAAAAGAATTATTCTGAGGTTGTCATTTCTTCCAAACGCAGGGAAGGGCTGAGGATGCACAAAGATTTGCAGCTGCACCCAAAGTGTCAAGGATAAATTAATCTGAACAATGAAATAGACCAAAGTCAGACTCACTATTAGGGTTAGTCAAAATTAAAAAAGGAAAATTTAACATCAGAATTCTTCCATTTTACATCAAATCAGGTCAGGAGCTTGAATGTACATTTTTCTCCACTTTTGACAAGCCCCTGCAGTTTAAGTCAATTCCCTCAGCTGGCTCCAAGTTAAAAACACGTACTATGACCCCTTAGTTCCTTTTCAAAGCTGTCATCTACTTCTGAAAACTCGTGTTTCATGCAGTCTGATCAGACATCACAGTAAATGGTAAAGCACCAGGAGATAAAAGCTATAGACATAGCTGCTGAAGCACACCACACATGGGACTTTTTCAAGAACACCGGTCTAGGAGTAACTTTCCTAGGAAGCTCCAAAAGGTATCCAGGAAACACTTCTCTCCTTCCTCCCCACCCCTTACACGTCCACATGGCACCCAGCAGTTCCAAGACTGGTTTTGAAGACAGATTTTAAGCCATGGGTGGAAAAAAATTATAATTCAGAAGGGCTTAATATCTTTTAAGGTTTAGAGGGACCAAACGACTCCATGAAGCAAAGCCAAGATTTCCGAACAAACTAGCCTTTACCCTGGACTGTTTCAACTTCAGTGTCTCTAACCTACACTATAACACAGTTACCTACATATAGTGACATATAACCTACACTATAACAAACTGAGACTGCTCAAGTCCCACCGTGACTGCCAGATTTGTGTGTCCCAGGACAGCCACCCTGATGTACCCTCCAATTAATCTGTCTTGAAACTAATGGCCCGTTTTTTTGCTTCACTGAATGTTAAATAGTTACTTGATATTTAGTCACAGTTTGCAAGATTTGGGTGGGTGGGGTAGGGGTTGGGGTTTTTATTCCTTCATGTGTAATTTAAGTGACAATTATCAAGAGTATCTCAGTTGGGAAAATGCCATTTCTAGCTTTATGAATTCATCCATCACTTAAACAGGAAGCCAAGGGACTTTATTAATATACTACAGTAACATTTGAATATGAAATATGGACATTCACTAACTATTAGGGTTTCATTCTCACATGTGATATTAACATTTTAAAACACTGAAAATACCAAGTTTCAGCCACTTAATCTTGATGCGTTATGGGTGCGTCATTCAACCCATTAGTTAGAATACAAATTACACACAGAAATATCACCTCAGCACTTTTAACAGCATATGAAATTAACTGCATTAATTTAAACTGCTATGACTACTGCTACGATTGCAGTTTCCCAGGACTCACGAGCAGATTTACAGGCAAAAAGATCCTCTCATTAATTCACATTCTTCTAAAAATGACATAAGAATGACGTGTACTTTAAAACCCCTCCCTATTATGTGTATCAGGAGTTTGGTAGCATTTCCATTTCACACTCAATAGGATTTCGTGTCTCCCTCATTGTAAAGATTTTTCTCCTAACTAGGTGCAACACTTGCTGAAATCACCAACGACCTTTGCTCTGAATAGATTTTCTTTTGGCCCCAAAGGCTATAAAGCACAAATTAAAGGTTCTTCTGGGAAGGGTATTGCATCACAGACAACAGCAAGTTATATCTGTTTTAAAAGCTCCTCTGTGGCTAGGCTTGAAGCCTTGGAATTAAGTCCACAACTATTGGGAAAACGGGGTTCAGAGACTACTGTGGTTTAAAGATAATTCTGTATGCACTGTCAGCTGCTGAAGCTAAGACACAGCAGCAGCAACAGTGAAAGATTCCTGTACGAATGTTTTTCGGAGTTGCAGTCAGGTATCTATGTGCACCAACCCATGCCTTGCACAGGCTGGTTTCTTGTGGTTAGTCATTTCCCTTGCAGCACTAAAATGATTTGTACAACCACCCCTTTGATTACTGCTAAACCTCCAGATCTGCATCAAAAGATACCTTCTTGGAACTTCACATTTCTAGTAGGAACCTCCACCGAAATTCTCAAAAAAGAATTTCAAAGCTCAAAGAAGACTATAAAAAGGAAAGCCATAAATACCCCTGTTACAATACTAAAAAGTTTAACAAATGCAACTGCAACTTTTTAGAGGCTAAAATGAACTAGAAACGAGTGTTTCTTTTGTTCTTTCACTTCAGTAACAGGAAGTGGTGAGCTGCAAACATTCGCAGAGCAAGCCTGGTGACATGTGCTACCACTTCCTGCCAAGTGCACTTGCAGGCTCAGTACAAGCAATGTCCTGCTACAGTTAACTTTAATTACACCATGTAAAACACTCCCATGACTACATCATTGCAAAAGTAATTACTGATAGAGAGTTTCCTTTATCAATGAATTCTTATTTTGCAGTCACACACTGCAAAATACAAAACTTTAAAAAGATAGCTGGGGCTAATAAAGAGTCATTTGTGAATCAGAAGGTTTCACTGCAAAGGATCACACAGCTTTCACAGCTTTAAAATGCAATGTGCAAAGTTGTTCTCCCCAGCAGGGAGAAACAGACCAGAAACATCTGGATGTCCATCTTAAGTTAAATTTCAGAAGCTTTTAGAAAGCACAGACCTAGACTAATTCTCAGAATGCAAACGCTAACAGGGTAATTATTCTCAACCCCTAAAGTGGAGTTGCCACACAAGTCTGACACACCAGTGTCAATCTAGCAAGTCTGTTATGTATTAGATACAGATGCAAGAGCATCTCTTGCAAAAACCACAAGCTTACAGTCTGCAAGGATGAAGTCCAAGCTGGGACCTCACTTGTGCCTTGGTTAGGAGTGTAACTGCTGGATTCCCCTTGCAGCACAGTAAATGCAGCTGAGGGATTATTCTTCAAAATCCTTTGCAGATCCTATAGGCCAGGGATGCACCCTCTCACCTGAGAGTATTTTCTGCCATAGCTTCCAACAATGACAAAGAACACACCGAGCAGAGAAATCTGCACACTAAGGATGTCAGTGTCCTTAGTGCCACAGAGCCATATACACAGAAAGCCATGAGTTGCATGTTGCCGTATCTGCCTTGCATTGCTACACAAAGCTAATTAAACTTGCCAGCTAGGGTCTGTAACTGCCCAACACCACACAGCCAAATATTAGAAGCCAGGGAGACCGGCCTCACCTAGGCCTCTTTTAGTTTAAGCCAAGAAGTTATGTTCATCTCGTACAGCAAGAGCTCTTCTGCTGCTACGACTTCTTCTTCCACCACTCCACTCCTGAGTTAGACATTCCTTCTTATTCCAGCCAACCTAGGCAGATTTAACCTGTAATTACTCAGTAATGCAATCATTTTAGAGAGACATTGGGAAGTGTTCCGAAGAGGTACTTTACAACACTAAATATACAGGACTGCCCAGCAGCACATATTGAGAGGTTCCTTTTCCAGCTTTAGTACCAATGGTTTTCTACTACGGACCTCCAGAAAACTATTCTGACACAATTCTCACTGGAATGCAAGGACAAACAAAGCAGAGATGCTGAAACAGTTCATTTTGCTACTTGAGTTCTTAGAACAGTATCTTACTCTCATGGCATCACTGTTACTCTTTTGTTCTCACCTCATCTCGGATTTTAACCCTGTAGTCACCAGAGCTAGTACCTCAGGTTTTTCAGTGCTACAGTACTGGTTTCAGACAGGTCTCCACTACAACTTTTTCCTACATAGTCCACTGTTTGGACTTACAGATCTTGTTTCTCCTTTTAAACAACATTTCTGTTGCAAAAGATGCTACAGCACAAAGAAACCAAACCAAAGTATTGTCTGGAACAAATCAACTGTTAACAACAGTTCCAGAAAATACTTCCTGAAGGTAAAGGTTTCTCTGGCCTTCATCCTCCTCAGCAAAAAGGTACTACTAGAAGGGCCATGTTCTTCAATAATACAAGCAGTGAAAGACAGAAAAGAAACACATAAAACTAAAGAAGAAAAAATTCCCTTAGTCGCTACTGGCAAACAAATATTGCAATTGTTAACATTTAGCTAAATTACACAGTTGTCAACCAGGATTTTAAGTTAATCTTTCATGGGGCTCAACATCAGTTTGCGGCAGCTGGACCTTACATTTGAGAAAGCTGTATGATCAGGTGACAACTCCTGCTGATTTTAACTCCAGGTGATTTAACAGGTTTCCCATCACTGAGCTCACAGAATCTGTATATTAATAACATTTCTCTGGTGCAGCTGAAGCAAAAGATCAGCCAGGAAATCAACACCATTCAGGATGCAAATAAATGTCAATGACTGATAGAGTACACTGGCCTCTGTATCTAACCACAGTAGATTATTTCTCCACCTCTGGCAAAGCAATACTTCATTTAAAAAAAACCCAAAACGTAGCACTCCATGTACCAGCATTTTGAATGGTTCAGTTGTTCTTTGTTTGGTTTTAAAATATACCAGCCAAGGGGATTTTAAAAAGTGATTAAACACTAAAAACTGGCAAAGCCGTGAAAACAAATTAATACCTGGTTCGCTTGCTAGGAAGAGTCTCGTTTTAGACCCATCTATCAAGGAATGTACAAGAGGCACCACAGGATCAGATCTTGTTTATCAAACTAAAACCTGAGAGATCTGTTTTGCATGACCTGCAAAAAGCAAACCCCCACCCTCCCAAAGAAGTTATCCTCCTACTTATCAAACCTCACCTTACTCTTTTGAAGAACAGAAGAAGAAAATTGAATGGAAATTTCTTTTTTCCAGTGGGATTCCCTGATAAACAGAAACTTTATGGCACTTTTCACCACTGGACATAGATCACAATAAAAAGGAACTCATTACAAGATGGGGAAAGGAGTCAAGGTTCAAAGTCTCGTTACCCTTTTGAGCAATACAGTGTCAGAACAACTGAAA